AATGACGAGCGCGATCGTCTCCTTTCCGGCCTGCGCTGGATTGGTCTCTTCTCCGATGAGCAGACTATCCCCCGCGGAAACGCCCTCGACACTCTCTGCGCTACCCTCGAGCAGAAGATGCAGTACGGTCCCGGCGAGCGTGACCTTGTCATGCTCCAGCACAAGTTCGAGATCGAGAACAAGGACGGCTCCAAGGAGACCCGTACCTCCACCCTGTGCGAGTACGGTACCGCCGAGACCTCCGCTATGGCCCGCACCGTTGGTATTCCTTGCGGTGTTGCTGTTAAGCAGGTTCTCGATGGTACTATCAGCAAGACCGTATGTTTATCCGTATCCCCTTTGCTCTCGAGATTCTCTATACTCACTTCATTATAGGGTGTTCTCGCTCCCGTGACTTGGGACATCTGTGCTCCTCTTATCAAGACCCTGAAGGAGGACTACGATATGGAGCTCATTGAGCGCACTCTGTAAGGGTGCAGTCGGATCTTAATGAATATACTTCTAGTAAAAAATATAGGAATCGCATAGACGATGAATGAATACCAAAGTGTGTATTTCTATTCTATATTCCACCAAACCATGGTATACACCAGTTCAATGTTCACTTGGACGTCCTAGTCATTGTGGGCCATATGATTGGATCCGAAGGATCCAATTGCCACATTGGCACTCTTTTGCGTATCTGCACTGAGGTGTATATATTAAGAAGGCGTACTACACGTTAAAGAGGAAATGTGATGTTTAACCTGATTTGGGATTGATTTTTGATCTGATTATTGTTCGTAATTAGTACAGTGCTGCGGAAAACAGAGCTTACACGGGCTTCTTTATCAGAAGCAGAACGCAGGGCTCCATTCATCTTGCTATCAGCTATGTTGGAAGGATGTCCTGGGTGTTTTTCAAAGGACACCCGACGGCAGGGTCGATTCGAGAGTCGGCCATCTTATAATTTCCGATATGCTCGAAGGCCCGAAGCTGCCACAATGGCAAACAAAGCGCGTATCCAGCACGCCATCTATCAAAGGAGCTCGAGCAGATCAAAACGTAAACTTATCTTCATTATCATAGACATAACACCATTTCTCTTATCATAGCATCATTGCCCAGGTGTGCCCCAGCAGACCCCAACGTACAACCGCAAGCGGGGGTCTCACGGGTGGAAAAGAAAGACACGAAGTGAAAAAGAAAGCAGAGCGAATAATCTAGCTGCTTGCGCTTTTTGCAATCTTTATCTGTGGCCAATTCACGGAGAGAGAGAAAGAGGAAAGAAGTCTTTTCGGACGTATGCATTGTTTTTTGTGTCTTTCATGCCACCGGTAAGAGATGTATTCGATCAGAGAATACTGCCAAACCTACACCAAGGAGAAGAACGAGGATGATTAGTAACTGATTCCAGTATCGCGAGGGTTTTGCGGGAGGTTGAGATCTGTAGACAGAGGCCAGATTGGCAAAGAAGTCCAGAAGAGAGGGATAATCCGAAAGAGATGAATGTGTAGACAAAACAAATAAAGGGGGAGAAAGAAAAGGAGAAATGACATACCCAAAAGTCTGCTTAATGCTGCGAACATAGTACGTGTCCCAATTCTGCTTGGTGACATCCTCCTGGCCAACCGGAACACCAGACCAAGAAACACGCATCTGAGTAACACCATCGATATCATTCTGATCGAAGTTGATCTCCTGCGAACTGAAGTGGCCCTCGGGCCACTGAGCAAGACGCCACTTCTGGACGATCTGCTTGGGCTCGTTGAGCGTGACGAACTCGCCAGTCACGTTTCCGTCAAAGATAGCGAACTTGCCGCCAACAGTGGCGCCATCGAACTGGCGCGGCGCGCCGCGCGTGAACGCTGCGATGCGCTGCGGGTCCGTGAAGGTGGTGTAAAGCTCGGCGGCCGTGGTGCGGAACTCGTCCGAGGCCGACACGGTGGTTGTGTTGACGGCGACCTTACCGGTCTTGGAGGTGGTGGTCTTCGCGGCTGGGGTGTCGGCCTTGGTGTGCGGGTGGACGACGGCCTTGGGGAAGCCGCTGGAGGGGTTCTCGCCCGGGGCGTGCTGGAGGTCCTTGCCGTGCTCGTTGATCAGGGCGGGGGTCAGGCCGGTCAGAGCCTTGCGGATTTCGACAGTAAGCTTTGTGCGCACCAGGTCCTTTACGGGCTGCTTGGAGTTGGAGTCGGCGCGGTTTTCAATCTCGAACTGCAGACGGGAGTTTACATGGTTAGTATTACAGATCACCTTGGCGATTGGGGAATGGGTCAATTGAACATACGACGTACTCATCTTCCTCGGTGTCGTGGGCTACCTCGGGAATGTTGATGGTGCCGGTGACATCCTCATCGTCCTTGGTCTTACCTATGGAAGCGTCTCAGCTGCCAGGTCCACAAAGAAAACAAGAAACCGAAATAAAATGAATTGATATTGGACTACAAACCTGAGTATTCTAGCGAGACCTTGACATCGAACAGAGTGATGACCTTGCCCTTGCGCTGGCTGACATCTACGTCGCCATCCATGGACACCAGCTTGTCTACTTTGGCTGACACGCCCCCTTCCTCGACACTGAGGCCGACAAGGTTCTTTTGCAGGAACTCCTTGGCCCAGCCAGAGGCATCCTTGTTGACCCAGTGCCAGTTGTTGGGGTTGTGAAGGACCATGATGAATGTTGACTAGGGGAATGAAAGAAAACTCTGATTTGGGGTTGGAAAGTGGATTTGGAAAGTGGATTGCTTCCTTTTTTTGAGAAAAAATATTGCTAAAAGTTCTGTTGGAAATTCCTGTTAGCCATGATCTTTCGCAATGGATGAAAGTTGCATGTGTAAGGAAAGGCCAATGTCAGGTCTCGGGGCGTATCCCGGACTTGTTAAGCGTTGTCCGCAAGTAGATGGAGAATCATCTCTCAGACTGGTGCCAGCTGAAGTCTCTTCATGTAAGGCCAATTGAGTGACGCCGAGGGGCAGGTTGGGACCCCACACCCCTCGTTGCACTCAAGGGTGAACGTAGTAAAAGCACAAGGTGAAACTTACAGTTGGTGTAATCAAGTCCAAAACATCAAGGACATCAAGGACTCTGAGGTGAAGTTAAAGAAAGAAGAGTCGAGGGGAAAGAGAGCTATTTGAAGGGCCGACGGAAGACTCTAGAAGGTGCACGTGACTGTGGATAACGCTAACGATTTCTCTATCGCCATTCTTCTTCTTCGCTACCAGCTGTATTCTTTGGCTTTCTATATTTTTCTAGTTGAAAGGAGCTAGGATATCATCAAGGTCTAGGGAGATAGACCCTCAACCACCCCACTTTACGGTAAACGACGTTATTTTCCCATATAGGCTGGTCATTTGAATATAAGTATCCACAGGTATCATACCACATGGCGCTCCTCTACGGATGGTTTGACTATGGTTTGCTTGCTTGCGATTTGCGATTTGCATCTTCCCTTTTTTTGGTAGATTGTCTGCTAGCTAGGCGAGAAATCGATGGTTTCATGTTTGCAGAAGTGGCCAGCTATATATAACCTGTTTCAGCACCCTCTCTCTCCCTCTCTTTCTCTCTCCGTCTTAGTTATTTTCAACTGATGCACTCTTTATGATCTAGCACGTCACACCTCGTACTCAGGCTAATCTACATCCCAAAGTATGATCGGGTTGCTGATCTTTGACAGGTCTATAACACCCATGGATATGTGCGTGTCATAGTAGTTATGTGTCATACTATATCAATCCCTCTCCCTCCCACAAAATATCACGCTTTGAAGATAGTAACTTAATGAACGTTCACTATGGCTCGACGCTCTTATATATCTTTTCGCAATATTTTGCGACTCCGTGATCCACCCAGGGTCGAACCGGTCGAACCCAAGAGGTCCAAGACACTCTGGAGGATCCCAGCAGAAATAGTGGAAATGATCTTCCAGCTTCTTTCCGATCTAGACCGAGCTTGTTTTGCACTGTGTTGTAAGAGGCCGCATGCCTGCTATGTCTCACATAACAAACAATATAGAATATCTGTACTGTCGAAATTGCCCAGGACGTTACTACTTCGTCGCCTTCAAAACGAACGCTGGGTATACTGTCATAGATGTCAAAATCTTCACCAGAACCCCAGATGGCGGTTTCTTAGCTGGAAATGTGATCCCCAGCCCGCTATATCCGAATGCAATGCTTGGTGCGATGTCCAACACGATGACAGAGTTGACATATGTCCATGCTCGAGTATCACATTCCACCAGAAGCAACATCCAATTGAGTACTTTCGATCTCAACAGGAGACTTCAGAAAAATCAGATTATCAGAAATGATCTGGGACGTTTACACATCTATGCACTGTTGAGCATCCTCTGGCATGGGTGACTATCCTAACTACAGCTCGGTTAAACAAGTTTACCAAGACTTTCCAGGTGGGAAATCAGTTGGTCTTCCAGACTTCTAAAGAAACAGCTTCGTCGGAGCTCTTCCAAAAGATCGGCTCTAGACCAAGCAGGTATGAAACCGGACTTTGGCTAAAGAACTTCTTCCATGATCAATCCAACTTCTTCATTGGGGATGAGAGCTCTAACTGGTATCAATGCCATGGCTGGAGCATTGCAAAGGGCAAGCCGTATAACTTCAAGATAACGCTACATAGAGACCTAAGGGGCGACAGGAGGCCTAGCAAAGGGTGGGAAGACAATTGTCATAATTAGATGTCGTCTTCTAGATTGCTCTTTTTGCTAGCCAGCCTTGGTTTTTCAATTTGTATTAACTTCCTTATTTCAATTTCATAATACTTCTTATGTGATTTGCATAGAACATGTAGGTACTACTAATTAGTTAACTGCCAGCTATATATTCTTTAAGATATATATTTTTTCCGGCTGAAATATGTATATTCAACTCTCACATCCCTGAAGGAGACCGAAAACTCAAGTGTCGCAGGCACTGCCTCGCGTCAATCTATAACGAACGTATGGGGATATCACGCTGCCAAGTACATAGAAAAGAAAAATCACAAAAGCCACTCTTCTATTCCTCCTATTCCTCCAATTGCTCCAATTCCTCCCAGCCATCTTCACTCATAAGCTGTTCCTTCACCCGTTCTCTCAATCCCTCGATCTGGCTCCCTAGCGCCTCAGTCCACTGACCCTCAACAGTAGCAACCTTATCCTTAAGATCCGTAGTCAGAGCCAGCTCTTCATCAGCACTCGTCTCCTGCATTTCCCTCCTCACATCTTCCTCCGCCTCCCCACGCTTAATCCGCTGCGCCTCCACCAGCTTCTGATTAGCCCGCATAACAGCAGACCGCACCTCATGCAACAGACACAGCAGATTCGTCTGCGACTCAATGAACTGGTAGCTCGATTTCTCTGCATGCGACAGCAACGTATACAGATACTGCAGCGGGTGCTCATGGTAGCTCGGGTTTTCCTCGTATTCGTCTGCGGGAATCTGCACCCGGAAGCCGTGCAGGTCCTCGGGCGCCTGCTGCACGAGAGCGAGGAGGGACGGGGCGATATCCCAGAATGCGGAGAGCTGCACCTCGACACCTCGCATGACGTTCTGCTCGATGACGTCCAGGAAGGTCTCGAGCCGAGTTAGCGCCTCGGTTTCGTACTGGACGCGGCGGTCGAGTGCGTCCTGCGTGAAGAAGGCTTGCGTCTCCCGGAGCTTATCTTCGTTTTTGGTCTGCTTGTAGGGGAGTAACGCGACGGCTTTGTATTTGTCGTCGCGGTCGCTGATTAGGTCGAAGGACTCGCGGTGGAGCTGCTCGCGGGCTTCGAAGAGCCATTTTAATTGCGTTAGTTTTTCGAGGAGCTCGGGCTTCTCGTCGCCTTCTTCCTGTGTTTGATCTGGTGTCCCGCTTTGTGCATCGTCGGAGAGCATGCTACTCAGCTGGTCGATGCAGGTTGTGGCTCTGTTGATTCTGTCGACGAGAATGGCGTGCATCGGCTTGAGTACTGTTTCTTGGTACGTGTCTAGCTGGCGTTTGACCATTATCCTTTCTCGCTCGTTTTCTTCGGCAATCATTGCTGCCTCGGCCTCGGCTGCTTCCGCAAAGGTGAGACTGCCTTCTTGGATCTGGCTTTGGATGTTCGATCTGAAGTGGCGATGGCCCTCGTCGACTTGTTGTTGGTGTTCTTGAAGCATTCGCTCCACGTCGGCCTTATATCGATGTCTGGTGGTTTTGATCTCCGCGAGATCAGTAATTGACCGGACGGTAGTTCGGTGAGTAACCAAATCAGGATGGCTGTTATTCACAGCAGGATGGTGGCGGGGATAAGGCGGAGGCAGGGTAATCAACCGCGAGATATCTAAACTGCGGCTTTCTTCGCGATACCCAGTCTCGATGGAATTCCTGGGAGAATCTTCAGGCCAGCTGACTTTCTCAGGCGGATACTCATCAGAGCCATACTCCGTAGTCGCATAATTCATGCTCACATCTTTGGGCTGAGAAGGAGTCAACTCCTGGTCCCCTAGCATGGCCTCCCGAGGCAATCCCATGTACTTCGATTCCCGCTTGGATCGTTGAACCCGCCTCTCACCCCCCTCGCCGCTGGAACCGGTTGCTGATTCCCACCAGCGACTTGGTGCACGGCCTCGGGAGCTCTCCTCGTTGCTCATGTTAAGGCTGGCAATCGGCGACAGACAAGGCTGATAGTTATTCCACCACGCAGACTCCGGCCGACCTGCTCGGTTTTGTGGGATATCAAGCTTTGGCTGGGGCTTGGGCTTGGGCGTTGGTGGTTGCTTGACTGGCAATTCGAAAAGATTGCGGCGCACATCCTCCACTTGGAAAGATTCCCAGACCTTGGCGTATCGCTGACGCCGGATCTGAGATTCGGCGAGCATGTAGTCCGCAAATAGTTTCAGTGCTTCAGTATCATCCTCGGCACTGGCTTCTTTATCAATAAAGATCTTGTGCCTTTGAATCGCATCCTGCAGGAAAGCAGGATCTTGTCTAAGGATCGATTCCATTGACACCTGCGTCGTTTGCTGTCCTGGCGTTCGGCGTGGCGATAGGGGTTTCATTATCGATACGGCATCGTTAGGCATATGGAGAATATGAGAGATTGGACGGTCTTCCGGTCCCCGGGATGGTGCACGGGAGCGTGAGCGTGGCCGGACCTCCTTCGCTGAATTGAGAGGGGGAGTCGGTAGTGCCTTTGGTGGTACCGCTTGGGTGGCTTCTTTGGGATATGTTGACGAGCCCAGCCCATTTGGATTTGGCGAGAATGGAGGCGTATGTGCAAATGCAGTCGAGGGACCAGCAGAGCTAGGTAGTTGTCTGGGAGTCGTGTAGGGTGATTGTTCTGTAACGACAGCGCTGGACGATGCTCGAGGCCGCGTGGCAATATGTTGTCCTTCTGATTTAATGCTGCGGGTACTTCCAGGGGTTTGATTGTACTTTCCCGACGTCGGATGCCGATCTTGACCTGGGCTACTGGTCTGTTCTGGTAGAATCAGGTTTGACGGTTTGATCTGCTCGAGAGCATCGGCCCAAGGATTACCATTTGACGATACCGCACTTGGGGGTTCAAAGACCTGACTTTGCCGGTTACGTCGTTCAATTCGCCTTTCACGGATGCCCTTCGCACTCGGATCGCGGACTGCTGGGCTGCGGAAAAGACCGCCACTACCGGGAGTTCTTTGATTCGATGAATCGTGGGGATCTCCATCTGTCGGCTCTGGTGCCTTGGCCGCTTTTGCCGTGTCAACATATAAATTCTCGGTTGGTCGACTGTTCAAATATCCCTCGTCTATCCAGTCAGCTGGTGTAGGAGGGATGCTTCCCAGTCCTGTTCCTAGCACGGGAGGTCCCCTTCTTGTCGTCCTGTTCGAGCTCTGGGGCGTTCTCAGAGATGATTCTGATGAGCCACTCACGCTGACGGACCTTGCAGCGGGAGGAGGCCCTGGAGGTGGCGGTGGAAGTGGCATCCCGGGCTCCCATGTACTATTTGACGGCGATCGGTTTCGCGACTGACTCGTTGCCCTTGATGATCCCGCACTGCTTACCACAGCCCCAGCAGATGCGGCTCTTCGGGATCCAGGGGCACGCGACGGTGTCTCAAAGTGAGCAGGTGTTAGAGGCATTTGCTCGTTAAAGCCGGGTGACGGTTGGCCCTGGTCATACTGTGCGAGCCGAGGCCTGAGACTAGCTGCAGCATTATATTGCGTTTGGTCATTATAGGGCATGCCATGGTACTCCACTCGACCTTGAGAAACAGATCTACTCGCTGGATGTCCCTGCGGGGGAGGTGGAGGAGGTAGCGACTGGCGCTGAGACCCCAAGTCAGACGGGTAAGCCATAGATAGCGGCCGGGGCCGGTTTGAGCGTCTTTGATACTGGACAGGCATATCAAACCCACCCGCCCTGTTGTCCGGTGGAGAAGGCGTTCCGGCAAAGTTAGAATTTGGCTGACCAGAAAAGTCCGGGGACGTTCGATTTTGGTTGCTGGGGGGTGAGTATGGCGGAGGAGGTGGAGACAGCGGCACATCTACCAAAGTATCAATATCACTTCAAACGGGTCATGGGATACCACTGGTCTGCAGAGGCATGAGCTGTGAGCGAGACTCACCCGGATTATTTCTTTGCGGCGTCACACGATGCATAGCGCCTGGCTGAAGATACGGGGCCTGCGACTGGGGCCTGCCCGGAGGACCCCAGTCCTGGGGATTATAAGGAACATTGTATGCGTTCCTAGACGCCATGGAAGACAATGAAACCGATCTGCTGTTAACAGGCGATGGAACAGCAGGCGATAGACTGTGCGTAAACGGGCTCGAAAGCGAGGTTGACGATGAAGGCGTCGGTGTTAGTCCAAGACCCTGGTATTGAGGGCCGCTCAATGCTGTTGTCAACAATGGCGGCTGTACAGCATGCTCTCGGCGAGGTGACGGCTGATTGCTAGGACTCGCAGCTGTCGACGACCAGCCGGGGTAATGGTTGCTCAGCGGCTGCTCGACACCTGCATGATTCGGACCCAGCCAGCTAGAGAGGGAGGATCAGTATATAGAAATACCCGAGAATAAGATGGGTCGCACCTATTCATATTGGGCTGTGCATCCATTTAGGAGGCCCGTTCCGAAGCCATGGCCGCCTGGAATGAAAGAGGATAAGCCAACAAAACAGAGGAAAAGCTATTAGCTTGAAACAGGCGAGACGCTAAATTTTTCTATTCTTTGCAACTGCGGAGAGCAAGGTTGGGGGAAACGATAGCCTAGCCTATACGGAGGCGTGCTCCGTACGGCAGAGTCTGAAGGACCATACGATGTACGGGAAATGAGATCTAAATTTGGAACGGAAGAAAGAAGAATTCGATCGAGAACAAATGAGCGCAGGAGGAAGCGGGGGATTGTTATGCACCTGAGGGCATTCTCATCACATTCGCGGCCCAAGCTCAGCGCTTATCGTTCTCCATGAGAGGCCCAACGACGGTGTCCCCGCAATAAAACAACAAGAAGGGCAGGGAATATCTATAAAAAGATCATAGTTTCATACATTTTAAGTAGGGATCAGAGGTTTCTCGAATTCTTATTGGTATTTTCCATTAAACTCCCAACTAATGCAGCCTTTCATAAAGGAAGACCAGGATATTATCATCTGTCATGTGCCGAGGCACCAGGAGACTGCTCCGATATCTTCGCACTGTTCTGAAAATCGATATTAGTGTCAAGACTAACAAGCGATGGCAAGAAACATAATGTGTGTGGGCAAATTTCAGATAAAGCCTTGTCACAGGCGATGGTCGTCAATATTAAATCCTTACGTTGACCGTCGTGATAAATTGAAGTGAATCATCATAAAAGGATGAGGGAAGAAAGAGAAAGAAAGAGGTCAAAACTCACAGAAAGAAGGCAAAGCAGACCGCCATTGGCGTCTGCAATTATTAGTTCGCTAAATTGTTTCTGTTCGAGATCCATCAGCGTCGAGTACTGAATGGACATTGCAGCAATGTTGAGACTCGTGAATTGATCAGGCATGACAGTTTCTCGTCTTCGCCAGCAAGCTGACTTGGACATATGCTTGTCTTTTATGTCGTTTCATCATGTAAAGTCGGGAAGGGAAGGAGACAAGGTGTACATACACCCACAGTCAGTCAAGACAAGAGAGCTCTTTGTAGTTCAAGGAGAATATCTGTCTTCAAAGGATCATTAGCACTAGCCAAGGAGATTTGATGAGTGAAATTTTGTGTAGGAATGAATGTCAGAAAGGCATGAATGGTTATTAAAAAGATTGTGTCAGCATCGAAAACTCGAATCAGACTCGTCATCTAAAGGGTATCATCATAGAAGGTAGGGCAGCAAGAACAACAAGACTCAGTCGCATACCTTCTACAGTTACAGTTGGATCTCAATCGGGCACAATCAAAAAGGCTTCTATTCAAAGGGTTAGTGACTGTGTCACGCAACCGTCTCACGAGTCGATGAATATATGGTATGTCTCAGTGGGCGAGGTTTTCTAGGCCTGCCGCAAAAAGGCGTCTCCAATCATGACCGGACATTTTTTTTAAACGCCGTCGGAGCCCAGTGCCGTTTCATCTTCGGACAGAGAGTCGTGTAGGAAAGATGCTTTAGTCTTACCATTTAAGCCAGTAGCGCAGTAACCTATAGGTCTTCGGAACATTAGCTTATGGTCTGAAAAGAATTTTCATGCAAATGTTGAGACAAGGTAAAGATCAGAAATAGCCATTTGTATCATCACCGACCCGAAGGTCTGAGACGGTAATTTCCAGCGTATTTTCATACACATCGCGTTCATCATGATATAGGGGAAGGGTAGGGTAAAGAGACCAGGGTAACTCACCATCTGCGCTTGTTGTGGGTGTGATATCTGCAACCGATAAGATGTATTTACTATCATTTCTGGAAAGGCAAGTTAGCTCAGTCCAACTCAAGGTTTGTGTGATAGTTCAAAGCAATGATGTGAGATCAGCCTGACGTGCAATAACATAAGTTTCATTCCCCGGAGGGTCAAAGACTCTAGTTTGTATTTGGTTAAAGGTATCATCATGTTGGGAGGTGCATAGATGTGTTAGGGATGAGGACAAAATCTTACCATCGTTGCAGATCCTGTCGGGCGGCTATTGGTTAGTGGGAAACACATTGTGTCAAAGATTATGGTCGGCTCAATGCCAGATATCAATCGACCTCAGTCTCCGTGTGCATTGGGATCATTAACCATGCTGAAGATGAGGGTAGGATGATGAAGGAGAAAAAAGTGAAAACAGAAATTTGTACTTTTTTCAAGCTCTGACGGCGCGGAATCACCTTCAGCCGGACCTAGCCTATATTGGGACTAGCCTTGACATAGGCGAGTTCTGCTTATGTCACCCACACCAACGGCCTGCCGACTTGGGAATAATCTAGCATTGGAGACAGCTACAACATACAATATATAAAAAAGGAAAAGCCAAAAAATTATCATAATCTATTGTTTTACAGCTGCCAGCATAATAAACATCTATGCATGGGATCGCTTCTTTTCGCGGGCCCAGAACTGATATAGAACAGCCAGCATAGCTAGCATGCACACATCAAGGGCAATAGTCCAGTTATATCCAATAAGGTACCTTGGAGCATCAACAGTCTTCCATACACTAGATAAGAAAAAGATTAGTATAAAGTTCAGGATCAGCAGGTTGCACCAACACTCACAAGAGCGGAATCCAAGCCCCAAAGGTATTACCAATAGTATTCATGGCACTGATGACAATAGCACGCTCCTCGGCACTATGGGCACAGATCTCATTTGCCCAGGCATAGATAATAGCTGCAATCCCATCCGCCGTGCCTGACAGGAAGAACGCAAAGAACTTCAGTCCAATAGGGACATTCCAGATCGCTAGCACAATACAAGCAAAGATATTCAGCAAAGCAGTGGCAGCAATCAAGCTAGCTTTCGCATCGTACACATCAGAGAGAACTCCACAGATCACAGATGCCACAATAGTGACCGCCGGCGAGACTGTCGTGATCGTGTTGATGCTCTCGACCGAGTATCCCTCCTCCTTGAGCCAGATTGGCAAGCCGCTGTTCGAGGATACACCATCGGCCTGCGAGAAGAAGAATGCAAATCCGACTAGAACCCACAGCCGCCAGCCTTTCAGGATCTGGAGAACCCTCGACTTGGTGAATGGTTGACGGGCTTCGCGGTTCTCGGATGCCATGCGCTCTTGCGCGAGGCGGACTTCGTCGGCGCTGAGGAAACGCGAGTTGCATTTGTCTGGTGTGCTGGGGAGGAGGCATAGGCCTAGGAAGGCGATAGGAATAGTGCATGCAAAGCCTGATATCATTAGTCTGTGTCTCTTTTGTTCCTTCCTTTTGCGAGACACTTCGGATACACTCACAAATTATGTATAGCCATCTCCACCCTTCAATCCCGTACCGACCGTCAAGCCTGGCATAAGCTCCCGCTTGAATGTATCCCGAACTCATGCTGCCGACTTGGGAGGCAATGAAAAAGATTGCGCCTCGGCGGGACAGTTCTGAGCGCTTATACCAACTGCCCAGGTACCATTGCACGGCAGGGAAGAAGAAGCCCCCGAGGGCACCAACGAAAAAGCGGAGAGCGTAGAGCTGGGTGACATTGCTAGCCTTGTACTGTGCCAGAGTGAAGACACCCCAGAATAGATCGGCGGCAGGCAGGAAATAGTTCACGGGACAGCGAGTCATCTATAAAAGACAGTCAGTAAATTATTGTCTCCATGGGGTAGATTCTAAGTGACAACGAACCAACAAAGTCAAAGGAATCTGCATCGTGATGAACCCAACCCTATACCAAGTCAGCATCAAACCTCAATTCACACTCCCCGCCACCACCAACCCATCGTATAAACATACATGTAAACCGTCTGTAGATAATTTAATTGGTTCCCATAAAGCTTCAAATCCTCCTTCATGCCAGATACATAGGCTGTACTCGTGGCCGATGAATCCAAGACCTTAGCCCAGTACGCCAGGAATACGAAGACGATGATCAATCCATCGAGCTTGAGGATCAGCCGCCGCTCGGCAGGGGTATCCGTCGGCGCAAACCACTCATGCCATTTCTGGCGTGCAGGCTCAGAACCGGACGGATGCTCTGTTTTCGTGGGGATTTCCTCGGCTCCCATTGTCTGCGGGGCTTTCTCAATGGGTAGAGAAGACATGGTTGGGTATTTACCTCTAGGCTATGTATCTCCTTGTGATAACAACGCTAGCCTCTGGGGTATGGGGATACGACACCGCCGATCAGATACCTGAATTCGCTTCATTTTTTTTCCCCTTGGGTGCTTTGAGCTGTTATAGGGCTGAAACGGAGCACGCCATCGGCCGCTAGAATGAGGAGTCAATCAAATTCGCCGGTAAATTTTTGACGCTATCGCCAGAAATTGCATCAAGCAATGCCAAGCTCCGTTCTGATTCGTTGGGGCCTTGGGGTTTGACCCGGGGAAAATCCATGGATAAGTGCTGAGATGGTCAAGTTTTGTACTTGAAGAAGGCCGGTATTGCTGTGGGCCTGGGCTGTTGTGGAATTAGTCAAGGATTATACTCGTATATATCAAATCGAGTAAGCGTGTTAGCTAGCGTTGGAACTATGCAGGTGTAGATGTTGTGTGGGACCAGATCTGGTGGCGTACCCATCTCTGCACGGAGGTACTCCGTTGATAGCACTAGAGAACAATATGATTTAAGATTTTATTTTATTTTTAATCCCAACTTGTGCAGGTATAACTATCGTAAAGCGCTGAAAAGAACAAGACTGCAACGAGGCAGAGGTCGGGAAACCAAAATGTAAAATCCGACCAAAATCATCATGTCCAAGAATGAGGTAGGAATAAATAGTGTTAAGAGGATATATGCAGGGAGAAACCAGCATCCTGAAAGAAGGAAAGAACGTCTCAGCGAGACGCTTATTTCTTGTACTTGTTGTACATATCAATGACCTTCTGGACCTCATTCTTGGAGCCAAGGAAGACACCACTCTTATCGTGGATTGTCTCAGGAACAACCTCCATCAACCGCTCCATACGCGAGTTGACAGCAAGGCCGCCTGCATTCTCGAAGACCATAGCCATGGGCGCACACTCGTACAGGATACGAAGCTTGCCCTTGGGGCTCTTCGAGTCGGCCGGGTAGGCGAAGATACCGCCGTATAGCAAAGTGCGGTAAGCATCGGCGACCATGCTACCAATGTAACGGGCGCTGTAAGGCTTGCCACCGTCTTCGGGATACTTGAGGCTATGGAAGTAGGCGTTGCACCACTCGTCCCAGTACTTGCTGTTGCCCTCGTTGACGGAGTAGATGGAGCGCGACTCGGGCAGTCTCATGTTGGGGTGGGTGAGGATGAACTCGCCGAGGGAGTTCTCGAGCGTGAAGCCGTTAACACCGCCACCGCGCATCGTAATCACCAGCTGCGCTGAGGCGCCGTACATGGTAAAGCCGGACGCCACCAGGCTAGTACCCGGGTGAAGCAGGTCCTCTGGGCCGACGGTCTTGTTGGGACCCAGGAGCTCGTCGGGAAGCTGGAAGACACCAAAGATGGTTCCGACAGACACACCGGCGTCCAAGTTGGAGGAACCGTCAATGGGGTCGCAGACAACGGCGTAGCGAGCATCGGGGTGCTCGTCGAACCTGATCACTTCCTCTTCTTCTTCTGAGACGATAATGCGGCACTTGCCGGAGCCACGCATGGCAGAGATGAAGATGTCATTGCCGATCACGTCCAGCTTCTTCTGGTCATCACCGGTTATGTTCGAGGAACCAGCGAGTCCGGTAAGGTTGATCAAGGAAGCACGACGAATGTAGTAGGCAATTGACTTGAAGGAGAATTGGAGGGCATGGCACAGGAGTGTGAAATCTCCAGAAGCTTCTGGGTACTTGATCTGTTCTTCTGTGAAGAATCGAGAAAGTGTGACAATATCAGTGTTGATGTTCTCCGCTCCAACAGGTGCTGAAGCCATTTTGGGGTATTGTTTGGAGGATATAGGATATAGAGATTAAAAAGCGTAGCAATTGGGTTTCAGGTGAAGAGTAGCTTAAGTAGCAGGCGTGTGGCAATCTTGAAACAAGGCAGACAAGGTAGGAGAAGCAGTTTAACGTCAGTGAGCGGGGGGGAATTAAACCGGGTAGAAGTATGGGGAGTGACCTCAGTCCCGTTTTCGTCATTTGCCCCGCGTGACCTGCCCGGGCCCTCGTCCTTCGCCCCTCGCCCGGTTTTCCCCCTCCCTCGCCGGGAACGCCCGTCTCTTAAGTATGGAGCTTCCTATCAAAAATCACTATTATTGGTGATCGCTGCACGGACTGGACCTTGTAGCGATAAACCCCTACTTCCTCCCAAATTAGCTTCACGCCCATACAAATATGTCCAAGCTAATCTGAGATGTGCTGCCCAATGATCTAGATCCTCCCGGTCTGTCCCTTGGCCGACTCGGCCTCGGGATCAGCAGCGGAAGAAGAAATCCCTATACCCCACCCACAGTCATGCGCACGTGAAAAGATCCTGAGATTTAGGTAATGCCATTGTTGTGCCCAATTAAAGGGGGATATCTACGCTATGGCGATAGTTCGGTGTGGATATATGTGGCATAGATCGGTACAATATAGATAATGTATAATTCTAGACCCTTTACAATACAAAAAAAGAAACACGGAGTGAGACAATCCCGTGTTGTAGAAATAAGAACGAATAGACTAGTCCACGGGGTCCTCCTCCAACAGGGTCTTGAAGCTGAAAGGCAGGAAAGGAATACCCTCACCAACGAAATGCTTACTCATTGCCTCAACCCAGTGAAGACGGAGCGAGTGCAACATGGCACTGGTACCTTCCATCACACACAGAATGCAAATCGTCAGCACAAACCAGAGGTAGAAGCTGACAACAATCATGATCACACGGGTCACGGGGTTCTCCTGGTCAAAGGCACCACCAATGGTCATGGTCCAGAGAACGATCGAAAGTTGCTGGTGGGCAAGCGACAGAGCCCACAAACGAAGGTAAGAAGCAGTGTGAGAGATACAGTTGAGGCAGAATTCGATGGTGTGGATGACTTGGTGGATCATGATGTCGCCAAAGTCGAACTCCTCATGCTCTTCGCTTTCATCGATGTCCTGAGAAAGCATGGCCACGCCTTCTCCGTCGCTAGCCACACTGTCACGACCCAGCCCGCCGTCCAAGTCACCATCGGCGTCCAGTGCGCTCACCCTGGAGTTCTCGCCGAGGCCGCGGTAACCCAAGGCACGAGCGCGGTTGTGTTCGTAGCGGAGCCAGAGAGGCTTGAGGAAGAGCATCACAGGTACCTGGGCCACAGCGACGAGGAGCAGAAGAACCTGGACCATGCTCTGGCCAGGATAGAGTTGTTCATCCACCGTACCAGGGCTGAGGAACATGAAAATGAGCATGTTGAGGAGACCGGGAGGGTTCACACCCTTCTCCTGCCAGTTCACGGTCCACTTGTAGAGTATAGTGAGGACAAGATAACCAAAGATTGACTGGAAGAAGAGCAATCCAGGAACAAAATTTCCCCAGATGTCAACCTTAGATCTGAAGTAACGTCCATTGACGTATTGCAAGCAAAGGGCATAGGTCATGTGGCACCATCCAAGGAGAACGCTCATCTTCATCTTCATACTATTCGAAAATAGCAAGGAGTTGTCTGCTTCGTGCCAGTTCCAGTCCAGTCCAATTGGAAAGCGATAGCCTTCTCTCAATGTTGCCTCGACCATTTTGCCGGGCTTGATGTCCTCGGGCCATTCCCACTGACTGGGGAAGAAGGTGAAAGATTTGGAGAAAATATCGTTGTAAATAAAACCGGTGTAGATCGAGAACAGACCCATCATCAACATAATATACCGTCCATAGAATGCCATGTATGTCAGTTCATCCAGTTTAGTCCGCGCCAGCTTCTTTTCCCAGAAAATCATAGCAGAAGCGGCTAGAGTCATCAGTGCACCGTGACCGCAATCACCAAACATGACTGCGAACAAGAAGGGAAAGGTGACGACCGTGTACAGGCCAGGATTGACTTCCGAATACTTAGGGATACCGTAAGCATTCACGATTGTTTGGAACCCTTCGGTGAACTTGTTCGTCCTGACAAAAGTCGGAGGGGTCTTGTTTGTTCGGATCTGGTTGACGATTGTAGGAACAGTGAGGCCCGCGCGGTCGTTCACGTCCTGGAGGGTCGACTTGATCAGAGCAAGAGAGTTTGTCGGGCACCACGCCTCGGCAATGAGCGTCTTCCGCGCTTGGTCGTATGAGAATTTGTTCAAGGTATCATAAACGGCCTTCTCCTTCTTGACAATGATCATCCAGGCGGCGAGCGAGCGAGCAATTTGGGAAAGTTCCGCATCAAGGGTGTTCTTGGTGTTACGGAGCACATTGCCAACATCGCCGAGACGGGTGTTGACTTCGTGAATCTGGTCCCTCCTCAACTCACTGTTCTCATCGACACCGTACAAGGAGGCGTTGAGCGACTCCGAGATCTTGCGGATCTTAGCAAGAATGTTCTTGCCATGAGCGAAGATGACGAAAACATTCTTGTGGACTTCCTCGTTCGTCATTGGGTCGATAATGGGCTCCGGAATCTCGGACTGGTTCATGTAGAGATTTCCGCGCAGGGTACGCCAGAGGATACGCTCAAAGGCTCCGATGCGATCCCGGGGAATAACACCAGCCACGAATCCAATGTTCATTTCCGAGAAGCTCTGCTGACCCTGAGTGTCTCCATTTTGATGAGGGGCGTGATGCTCGATATCACGGAGCAGAGGAGCTTCATCGTTGTCCAAGGACTGACGAATGTCTTCTGTTTGTGTATGGGCCTATTCAGTTAGCCTTGTCTATCAACGGTATACTCGAGGCAACTTACCCGATCGAAAAATCCACCGGCCTCTCTAAGTACCCATCGCCATTCGCTCAGCTCGACTTCACGTTTCTTCAAAGTCTCATAGCTATCGTTCAGAGAGATAATCCGCTGTTCAAGGCTCTCACTGCGATCAGCCAACTCATCGATCTCCGACGCTAAGGGGGCGGCCAATGTATCGGAGAAATCCGTGGAAGATCTCATAGGGATTGCGGCCTTTTCCGTCTGTTGGTGGAAATAGCGGAGCTGTCTTTCGACATTGTCCAGGCGGCGGATTTCTTTTGTAAAGGTTCTTTGGAAAGCGTTCGTGTCCGGGTTGAGCTAGGAAGACGTTAGCGGGAGTATCAAAGCAAAGCGCTCTTCGTCACTTACATCTCGGAACTGAACCTGGCCAACTTCACCCAATGCACTGACAACTTCTCTTCCGATCTCGTTGGCAATATAGAGCTGGGTCAAGCTCATATCCGCCGAGCGGAAGAAGGTGTCCCGTGGAACCATGGTGTAATGAGGCTACCAGGAGCCGTGTCTTTGGGAAGAAGACAGGGAAAAGTAAGAGGCAAAGAGCGACAGTAATAGATAGATTCAATGAGAGGCACAGATCCTCGGCTCTGTTGTTGCGAATAGTCCGGGCTCTACTTGCACTCGTTCTCGGGTGGCTCTGTCAAGCTGGCTGCATCCAGCCACGTGATTTAGTTTGCACGTGATCTCATAGGACGACTAAACTAAACAAAATGTCTACAATATGGCCAACCTACAAATAGTAACTAAATTCCTTTAAACTGCTCCTGGGTAGATGAACTAATGGCTTATTATCATGCTTCGTCTTTCTTCCATTCTAGGAGTCTGAATCAGCAGGGGATCTGTCCTAATCACCTATCGGTGAATAAGAGCTGCTTGCCCTAACCGATCATAGTTGAGGAACGAGTATGCCATCTCATACTGCAAATTATTGGTAGTACGATTTATTGGGACCCGTATATACTGCCACAGTGCTATCGGAACAAGCTGATGCTTTCTATCTATGTTGTTTTTTCTATAATCCTTCGATCGAGTCCCTAGTTGACGTTTCCACTTGTTAGGATTAACGACTTTCTCATGTCAAAAGGTTACAAAGTCATCTAGGAGATCTTTTAATCGAATATTGAAGTACTCGATTCCCTAACATGTTGAATAATTTCCCACTATGTCACCCCCAGTGACGGTTCATGTTTAGAAAGTATGGTTAACTACCCAGACCTTCGAGCGTCAGAATACCACCGAATGAGTCGAATTCCACCTATCCTACTACCTGTTGGGCTTTTCCAACTCAAAAAGTGCAACCACATCACCTTCAATCGACTGCTCGCGGTAGATACTAAACCCAGTCCTCTGCAGCACCTTCACACTGCCAACATTCGCTCTATTGCACGCCGCAAACAGCTTCTCCTTTTTCAAATCCGATCCAGCCCCGTCGAAATCTATCCTGTCAAGCTTCCACCACGCATCTACAATACCAGCAACGGCCTCAGTGGCATAGCCCTTGCCCCAGAAGTCAGGATGGATATTATACCCCACTGACGGGGCTGGACTAAGAGCATTGATTCCCGCTCCTCCAATAACCGTCTGTGACGAGTCCTCGGAACGGATAATGGCGAAGAAGAACCTCCCCAATGGCACCTGATGCATCCGGGGTTGTAAATGTCTTTTTGGTAATGAGGGCCTCTGACTCTGATATGTCTTTGTGGGGTACTTTGGGCCAGCTACAGATATAGTCACAAGTCAGTATATAACTCTCCCGGGTTGTCGTGGTGGTTATTCTTTGGGTATAATCTTACAGCCAGTCCGCTACGTCTTGTCGTCGGCGGATCTCAAAAATGGCCGTGGCGTCAGCTACCGTCAGTGGTCGTAGATACAGGCGACTTGTGTGGATGGGTCTCAAATCGGCCGGGACGATCACGGATGTAGCTTGATCGGGGTAGAAGCTCATGTTGACGGAATATGCGATGTTCTTAGAAGCTGATTCTTGTTGGGTATAGAAACTACAGTTATATATATTCTGCATGAGTCATTCGCGGGGCTGGCTGGTCAGGCTGGTCTACAACAATATCCCATACCAGCGATATATACAACACATAATAGAGATGCAATATAACAGGACAGCGAATACATTTTGAACAGACCTCACAGAAATATATTGCTCTAGCTTCGACCACCACGCCGGGATAGCGCATCTTAATGCTTTCGAAGCTCCGATATACAGTGCCGCCTCACCAATTCAGAAGCCCAGAAATTCAAATCAAAACAGTTTGAAATTAATCATTTACACTCATAATATATAGTCGGTGGAAAAACGAAAAGCCAACCCCATCGTCACGGATAGACAGCAGCTCCCATAGAGCGGAGTCGACGAGCACACAGAATGTACAGCCACAGATCAGCTTCGACTTAGGCACCGCCATCCCTCTTCGCGTATTCATCCTCCATCCGCTCCTCGTACAGGCGATCGGCCTCCTCCTTGGTCAAAGAGCGACCACTATCAGCATTCTGCGACGGGCTGGCTGAGTTTCCAGGCGCGGTCCCGAAATAGCTGTTGTTGTTGATGTGGTCAGGGGCAGTGTGTGAAGCGGAGCTAGGAGGTTGTGTGCAGTTGGCTTGGCTTTGTTGCTTGTCAAAGAGATCGGCAGTGGGGACGGGCATCTTGGTTCAGGTTGAGTGTTTAAGTCGCGAGTGCGGCAGTGATTTCGAGGAAATTAGATTTTCAAGGAAGTAAGTGAGGATGGTAGACTAGGACTCGAGCTGTTGCGATTTTTGATTTCGGTAGGATTTCATGCTGGTTTTATGCTGGCTGGCAAGAGTTGATCTGGGGTCGCCACAGATGTGGCGACGCCACTGTGAGTCAGACGTCATGTCAACAAAACGCAGCTGAGAAGTGAGATTTCAGCAATTTATGGTTGGTAGGGGAACTGGGGATTGGAGATTGGACGCTGGAAACTGGATGCTAGACACTGGACATAAAGTACCGTAGAATGAAGACGAGACGAATATGCCATCATTTATGTACTGATCGCGATACGCAACAGGCCGTTGTTGATGCGTGCCGAGGGACGTGGGGACTGGGCGCAACAGCGCAAGGGTATTCCAAGGGACGAAGTTACAATTACAAGAAAATAACATTTGCCATTAGAGCTTATTACTATGATCTACAAATTCATATCTCTTCTCCAAACTCGAGCCACTGGCTCAAGGTTGATGAAAAGAGTTCCACGAAGGAGAGTGCCAAAGAATGCGCCTGTCAATGACCACGAGAGCCATTGAACAAACTGTTCCACCACGATGTGCAATGCAGGGACCAATCTGTGGCGACACGTCTTATTGATCACGGTCACCCAAACAAGGTAAGTATGAAGAAGAAAGAAAAAAAGAGGAACTGGACTGGGAAAACGCGGATATATATACCCTAGCTGGAAAGCGGTGGCAGATTCCCAGATTCGCCACCTCACACTGATTGGTTAGCAACCGAAGCAAATATGAGCACGTGACACTGCCAAGGCCCAACCGCATGTAATATGACTCATCCACCTCCCTTTCTGGACATTACAGACCTGTCAGGTCAGGGCGAGGAATGACGCTACGGAGTATGTACAGTGCAACGTGCAGGACACAGGTACCATGCATTTCTTTCCTAGGTTTCATGCTTGCGCCAGAGTGAGAATGAAATCATGAACCATGAACCAACACACAGACCTCAAACATGAATCAATAATTGAAACCTCCTTGTTCGAGACCTCAAAAACAAGCCAGACTCCATACCCGACCCGAGCTTGTGTGGATCCTCCCCTATCCCACAACTTTGTATTGTGGCTCTCACGTCCCGTACTACTCAAAAGTCCGAAAGACGTTTGGATCACAACTTGTTTGGAATACGGTCTGTCGGAAGTATACCCTTATTCAGAGGGTTCTACAAGATTAACTCGGGTGAGGATCCCACAGTTAATATCGAATAGCAAGTAAACGCCCATCCTTATCAAAGTGTGCCATGGTTTGAGTCGATCTAGTGGACGCTAGAGTCGTCGGGGGCTTAAATGGACGGGAAATCTGTCCCTTGTGTACACCGCAGGTCAAGCTGGCGCTTGGCGGGAAGTATTACGATTAATTTACTCGGTAATGAGCTCGGGAGATATATTCTGTTCATGAAAGTAGAGTCTTGCTGTGGTACTATATTTTAGTTTTTTTTTCCTGCTCGAAACCTATAGTTACATGCATCATGTACGGTGCAAATGTAAGTCCCTGGAACAATCACAACTACAACGAGTAATATGGAGCCATATGTACTCCGTATTCCGTATATGCATCCCGAAAAAGCGGGAAAGAATCCATAGGCGCCCGGGTTCCGCTATGCATGGCACTTGCATGGTGTCAAAATATAGCCCAACAACAAGAGAGGAGCAAAGATCGACAAGCTGACTTGGAACAATGATGTGATCGTCGACGAGCGGTAAACGCCGACCATTCATGGGATGCAGCAGGAGGAGGGTTGAGCCTAGGACCTCGCGACCGCAAAAAAAGGGCGAAAACGGTAGGCTTGGTACGGACATGACTGGTGCTTAGTCGCCCTAGAGGTCTAACGGGTGCAAAAGGGGGGCCATGATAGGGCATGATGAGATACCGAGAAGGGGGTGGATTCCCCCGTGCGGCTATCATTACTGGAAATGTTTCAATGGCCACATTCTGGCAGTGTTGGGCTGCGACCTGATAGTGCTTGACCTGAGGTAGTTGTAGATCATACCACCTACCTCCGGAGATATAAGGTGGTGCCATAGGACATTGTACGAGAAGAACAGCGTATGAAGGCACTTTCCGTTCTCCTGCAGACACTATCTTGTCGATGAACCGTGGAAATGAGGAAATGAACCGAATAAAGTGCTTGATACCTACACTGAGTTTGTAGGGCTGGCCCCTTATTCGCTAAGACTCGAAACTAGATGCGTAGTCCGGTGGAGACTACTCCGTACTTCGTGTTGTACGTACTTTTTTGATATATTATTACCACTAAGAAATCTACGGGGAAAACATAGGGGGATGTAAAGGGTGACAGAAAAGGGGCTTAATTAGGGGCATATTGTCCAAGCGTGTAGATCGTGTTTTCAGTTTCAACTATGTTTTCCTGCACCATAAGAGTTACTTTGTACTCCGTATGCTGTACTCCGTGGATTAGAAGTATGAGACGATCCTGGTATGGAATGATGCGCATATCACGTAAAGAGGCGACACTTTGTAAATGTGCTGGGATTGGCTAGACGAAAAGATCATGGGACCTTTCCCGCAGCGCGGCGAAGACAGTTGATACGCCGATAGGGACGTACATCAAAGCCGGAGTCAAGAAGGAGGGGTTGTATCACTGCTGGTTGGTTGTCCACGAGGGTTCGCACGCCACTACATCATAGAGTTGATATTCGGTCATGGGGCCTGAGTAACGATTGGAAGTCGTGATGGCCAACCATTGTAGAACCTAAAGATGAGTGCATGGCCCGGTAGCCAATACCCGGCCTAAGCCATGTAAATGCGACAAAGTTCATCTACATAGACGGCGCACTAGGCTGATCATGACGAAGCAAAATGACGGGCTGCCTTGTGGTGATATGGTGGGGGTGGGCATGGAGTACAGGGATGCCCCTCCAAAGGGATATATTCTAGTGCCGATATAGCCCTTCCGAGGGAGAGGCTTGCAAGGTCGGATCTACTTTTGACTACGGAGTACGGAGTATGCGGAGTAATACAGAAGAACCATCGAAACATCTAGTTGATTTGACAATGAATGGATTCGGTAATTCCAACGGCAACGCCCCCCTTGAACTGTGTAACGGCGTAGTTGAACGATGTGGAATGAGCGCCAACGGTGTGGCGACCCACCGAAGAATAGAACCTCCTTACGGGCCAGAAAGTCACTAACTAAGTATACTTTTCTTGTGTCTGATGACCTGACAATCTAAGATAACCCCGCCATGACGATATATTTTTCTTGCATACTCTATAGAATATGAAACGAACAGAAGTTGACTTTTAAATCGGTAGGAGCATCCGAAGTACATGGAGTAATTAGCGAGATGTGACCGTTGATTCAAGCTGCATGGCCGATCATGGCCTATGGTGTGATGGTTTCATACAGTGCAAGGCCAAGAATTGCAGAGTTTTCTTTCTCCTATTTGCTGTTTAGTTCCTAAATTTAGTTGGATCAGGTCTAGCGTCACGGACAAAGAAGCTCGTGTTATCGTAAGTATTCTTAGGGCATAGATTGGCACACTTCCAAGGTTGTCCATGGCTGTTCCACTTGCAAAGTTAGTTGCAAAGCGTATTTGGCGTTACATAGGAGACTGATAGAGTGCAAAAACAGAATGGAATTGAAAAAACATGTCAAAAGGGTAATGAGAATGACAAAATACAGCATCCATGGATGAAAAAGACATGGCCCGTAAAAACAGAACGCAAATAACGGAAAATGACAAAAAGAAACCAAAAAAACAAAAAACAAAAAACAAAAAAAACCAATTAACCCCTGAAGCGCCATTAGCTAATCTTTTTGTGGGTCCCCTGAGCTCTGGGCTCCCTGCAGGTCCTTTCCTTTTCAGGGAGGACGCCATCAACAACCCTCTGACTCTTTTTTTTCCCTTTTCTTCTTCTCTCTCTTCTCTCTTCTTCCTCCCACAAAGCAAAATACCCTTACTTCGTGATACCCGAGCTATTGTGCTCTAATTTCTTTTGCTTTCTTTTGAGATACCCTATACCCAACACGCCTATTTTACCCCTACGAAGCCCAGCTTCTTTAATACCCGTTTATTATTTTAATCATGTCTGAAGTCCAGAAGACTGTTGAGGAGACCCCGGTCGTCCCTACCGTTGAACCCGCCGTTGAGACTCCTGCCACCGAGGCAGCGGTCGAAGCTCCCAAGGAGACCACTGAGGAACCCACAGCCACTCCCGCCATTGAGAGCACCGAGGCTTCGGAGCCCGCCAAGGAGGAGGTGAAGCCCGCTAGCGAGGGCGTTCTCGGCCACAAAGGCCCCGGTCTGGTCAAGTAAGTTGCGACTGAGATCACAACTGCGACACGGAGACTGACAAGTGTTCTTCGTTTCTTTTAGGGGCTTCCGCTTCGTCAAGCGCTTCTTCTACTTCAACGAGGAGGCCACTGAGAGCAAGCACCTCTCCGTCTTCCACCAGAACGAGAAGTCCTCCGTCGCCAACCCCATCGCCGCCTGGGCCACCCAGACCGGCAAGGGTCTGCTTTTCTTCACCAAGCGCGCTGAGGACAAGGCCACCCCCGCTGGCATTTTCAACCTCGTGAGTGCTTTGGCAACTGTGATGTGATGCGGCAAACTCTAACAATGAATAGGCCGATGTCTCTGACGTGACCAAGGAGGGTACACACGAGTTCCTCTTCAAGGTTGGTGGCCACAAGCACACCTTCCAGGCCGCCAACACCGCCGAGCGTGACAGCTGGGTTGTCGCCATCGAGGCTCAGGCCACCGAAGCCAAGGCCGAGAAGGAGACCATCATCTCCAGCGAGGGCTACAAGGCTGAGCTCGAGAAGCTGACCAAGCCTGCCGTTGTCATTGCTGCCGCCAAGAAGACCGAGGAGGAGACCCCCGCTGTGGCTGGTGAGGCTGCCCAGGAGGAGCCCAAGGAGGAGAAGAAGGAGAAGGCTACCAAGAGCCGCTCCCAGTCTCGCAAGCGCGCCAGCATCTTCGGTTCGCTCCTGCCCAAGAAGGAGGCCGAGGAGAAGAAGGAGGAGACTCCCGCTGGTGAAGAGACCAAGGCCGCCGAGCCTACCGCTGAACCCTCTGTTGAGGCTCCTGCTCCCGTCGTTGCCGAGACCTCTGAGACTGCTGCTGCCCCAACTGAGGTCGCTGAGCCTACTGCTGAGACCCCTGCTGAGACTACCGAATCTGCCAAGGAGGAGAAGAAGGCCGAGGACAAGAAGGCCGAGAAGAAGGCCAAGCGTGCTTCCATCTTCGGTAACTTCTTCCAGAAGGTCACTAGCCCTTCCCAGGAGAAGTCCGAGAAGGAGGCTAACTCCTTCCCTACCGAGGAGACTCCCGTCGCTAGCACTGCTCCTCAGCTCGAGCACCCCGTCGAGGAGGCCGCTGCCACCCCCGAGGCCGAGGCCTCGACTACCCCCGCTGAGGCTGTGGAGACCCCTACTATTGAGGCTCCCGCCGCCGAGCCTGTCCCCACCCCCAAGGAGAAGCGCCGCACTTCCTTCTTCGGCAACCTTGGCATCAAGAAGGAGAAGAAGGACTCCTCCGACAACGAGCTCACCGATGGTGAGGCCAAGGAGAGCAAGCCCAAGAAGCTCGGCAGTCTTTTCCGCAAGCCCAGCAAGGCTGTCAAGCTTGACAAGGAGGAGGCTACTGCCACTGAGACTGAGGCCAAGGCTGACGCCGCTGAGGAGGCCCCTGCCGTCCCTGCCAAGGAGACTGAAATTCAGGAGGCCCCCAAGCCCGTCGAGACCGCTGAGGACTCCAAGAATGTCAACGTTGCCGTCTCCACCCCTGTTCAGGCTGCCGCATGAGATGCGACTCGGAGTCCTGTGGAGTTTGAACGGTGGTGGGACGTGTCCTATCCGCCGCCCGCCCGCGATATACCTGACGGGCTGATTCAGTCTTGAAGGTGCAACTCTGATACCACTTGCTCCAATTGTTTTGCTTTTCCCTCGCCACTGTCGTTATCTTCGGTCCACGGCCCCCGTTTGTGTTTGGGCCTGGACCTGAGATGACGACAATGAGATACCCGCTGTCGCTTTTTTTCTTTGATTTTCTCTAAAATAATACCATCGGCGTCAACGACGCCCCCAGACTTTGGACTGCGGCTCATTCCTTTACGACCTGCGTCCCGCGATTGTGACTCTGTTCGCGACGCGACTATGTGTTACGTGGTTTGTCGTCCGACTAGATTGATACCACTCTGCCTTTTCTTTTTTTGGTTACTTGCTTTTGTGTTTGATACCCTGTGGGGAGGATGGGTGCTCTTTTTGCTTGTTGCTTGAGCTTTGGATCTAGTCTGTCGACTTGTTTCTCCCTGCAACCCAAATTGGCCCTGTAATGTTGTCTACCGTTGTTGTCCCGAACGGCTGGTTTATATTCCGCCGTATAGGTGGCATACCTTGCGATAGGTAATACTTAATAGAATCTCTCAATTTTGCTTTACATCGTCATCGTATTGTAGTTTTGAGCTTGGTCGTTACGTGGCGCAGGCGATAATCCTTGCTGCCAGGCTAGTAGTTGTAATCTCTAGCAGCTTATGCATATGATACTGGGAACTCCCTCTTAGACATACTTGTCTCCTACCTCCCATGTACCTATTTCTCGATGGTCTCGTATAACCGCAAAGTGGGTTTGTTCGTTGTATTTGCTATGCTACCCCCCTTCTATTAATACTGATGCGGAGACCCAGCACTCCCTTTCCGCATCGTTTAAAAAAAAAGTGTCATCGCAGGCTTTATCTTCACGACATGCACTGATTCAATGCCGAACCTCTTAGAGTGTATCATGTCGTTCAATCCCGGGTAAGACATCGTGGCCCTAATAATACAGCCACCTGAATATCCTCATCCCCGTTCAAATGCTCCTCGGGCTCTTCCTCTGGGGCATCACGTTCGGCTACCGCGGGCTCGATGACAACACATGGTCTCCACCAATCCCTGAGTAACCAAGATCATCCCGGTTTCAGTGGAGGCATCGGCTTCCATGCGTTCCAAGTGGCTGTTCAGAGAACGTTGAGTGTGGCAGATGTCAACCTGGGATTGGGGTCGTGTTAGTTGGGCAGAGTAACTATAGATATATTCACGAATCGGTCGTGGATGACCTTGTCTTCCGCATTGAAAGCACCAAGCATTAGATTCTAAACTATCCATAGTCGTAGGAATATCCATTTCTACACCTAGAAAAGACCCACCTGGGAAAAAGAAAAAATCGGGTCCATACCGTTGCATATGTATATGCAAGCAATACTCATAGTTGAGGATCTAGCGACCCATCGTGATGTCTTGGCAGTCTGGGGTGCAGCCTTCCATGTTGGTACTTAAAGAGGTTCATTCAGGAAACCACCATTAGATTATTGGATCAGGCACGGACGTACTGTAATATATGCCCGTGAATATCCGTGAGATCGGCCTCTACACGAGCTCATATCGCGGTTACCTACGTTTAACATTTGCAATATGATGCGATATTGATTGTAGCAAGATCGACGGCAGTCTAGACTTGAAGGTCTACTGTTGACTATGCTAGACAATAATGACATGTTCTTTTCCAGTGCATCGCACATGTCTGCAAGGTGCCCGGCGGGCTCCTATTTCGGTAAAGCCTCGGCCCTTGGAGGTACGTCGGCATTATCGCAGGAGAAACGAAAAATCAATAAATTGGGTCTGGGTTACGCAGTGCACCGTATTCGTATTGACTTTAAAGTATATCGATATTCTGTTGAGTTATTTTTTGGAATCGAATTTAGGACGAGTATAGAATGAAGACTGGATTAGCATGCTAGAGTTATATCTGAGTACTCCGTGTATAATGTTGTACTGTACTCCGTCTATATATTCTACTCCGTACTCCGAGTCTCCGACAATGAAATTCCGGAAACAAATGTTAAAAGTCAATTTCACGCCCTTCGGCAAGACTAAGGAAACGTGAGCCTCTCATAGGACATTGGCGACGGACTCAGCCCACCGGAACGAGATTGGGAAAGGATCGGTGGATCCGGTGCATTTTTCTCATTGCCCTCATGGAGAACGCCTGTGTCTCCCCGGGTCTACGTGCAACCTCATACCCAGGTACCAAGGAGGAATTGTGCGGTGCCTGGATGGAATTGATTTCCAAAGAAGCTCAGAAGCTTGGTTGTGTGGGTTTTGAGAGATTTTGGGTGCAAGAAACCAATTGAGGAAAAAGCAAGTTAAATTAAAAAAGAAAATGCATGCCTTGGAATTCCGGGAGGGATAGGAATATGAGCGCTGATTGGTCAATTCGAAAGGAAGCGGAGAGGATCCTGGGGACAGGTACTTGGAAGATACCTGATTTATGTATGCAGATGCAGGCCAAGTGCAGGTACCATCTGATGTACTGCAGTCTCGATGGATGCCTGTCCGATGTAACCAATCACACCCACGCATGCAGGCTGTGACTCACACCCCGTGACTTCCAGGACTAAGCCCCGTGCGGCTCCGGAGCACCGATTGGTCAGCACCAGGGCACACAGCCCTTAAGAAGTGCCTGAGTTCCCCCTCCCCGTTTGCCTGATTTTTCTCTCCCTATACCCGTCTCTTTTTTACACACATACACATAAACCGCCAAATTGCTGCCACACCAGAACTATTTACAACTTCACCATCGCCAAAATGGGTTCCCAATAAGTTCCCCGTCTTTCACCAGCCAGTCTATCTCAACTGAGGCAGACATTATTTCTCCATCCGGAAACCGCCCTTTCATCTCCTCTCTACCCCCTTCAGAGCCTCCTTTTGGATCTCTGAACTTTAGCATCGCGTCGCGTAGCTCCAGTTCTCCCAACAAATTTACCCCGATCGACTTAACGTCGTTCACCACGGATTACCACCAGCAACCATGGCTTCCATCACCCCCACCTCCACAGCCCTTGGCTTCCAATCAGAACAACAACAACAGCAACAACAACAGTGCACTCGAGGACTTTGTGCTTTATCCATCAGCCACACCACACCCGCAGCCCCGCTTGCGTGTGCCTGTGAACACAACCCATAGACCTTCTGCACTCCAGCCATTCTTGGCGCAGAATAACCCCCGACGACACTCTTTCAGTCTGCAGTTGCACCGACATCTCCAGCAGCAGTTCTCTGGTTCACCTGTCCCAGACCCCAGAGTGACCCAGCTTGCCCGGTCCCCCTCTTATTGGTCCCGTCCTACGTTCACGCACCACCGTTCTAATACGGCTTCTGTGCCTTCCGATTCTCCAAACACCAACCGCCCACCCATCCCGCTTTTTAACGGTCAAAACCAAAACACGCCACCATATCGACGTGTCATGTCCACCCCTAACTTCATGGAAGGTAATTCATTCATCTCGCCCTGTGATAGCGAGTATATCGCTAACTTTATGAAAGCTAACGAGGTTGACCTGTTTGGTCTCCCCTCGGGCGACTTCGCCGCTGGCATGGATTCAGCTCTTTCATTCAACGATCTCGGCCTGGCCAACTTCTCCCCTGAAGGTCCCCCGGGCACTATCTCGCCGAGGGATCTCATGATGGATGCGTCTGTTCCTCCCTCCGGTACTTTCACCGACCTGAGCACTCCCTCGTTCGAGTCGCCCGGCAACTTCAGCCAAAACACCTCGCCCATGTTCACCGACATGGATATCGCTGGCCACGAAGAATGGCCCTCTCTTTTCGACCACTCGTCAGACCCACTCAATGCCTTCGACCTTGCTACCTTGGATGTCGCAGCTGCCTTCACTGAACCGAAGAAGCCAGCCATGACGACAATCTCCATGTCTCCTGTCTCCCCCCGCGCCAAGCGATCGGCCGCATCCTCGCCTGTTCCCGCCTCCGGTACAGCCAAGCACTCCAGCGTCGCAGGTGTCAATGCGCGATCGCGTAAGAACCTGTCGCCTGTTGAGTTCGACCCCAATGATCCTATTGCTGCTAAGCGCGCTCGTAACACCGAAGCGGCCCGCAAGTCGCGTGCCAAGAAGATGGAGCGCCAGTTCAGCTCCGAGCGCCGCATCGAGGATCTCCAGAAGATCATCGCCGAACGCGACGCGGAGATTGCCAAGCTTAAGGCTCAGCTCCAGATTCAAAATGCCTACCAGTAATGGTGCTCCTTTTTCTATTCTTGGTCATTCAAAATTTGAGACACGGGTCTTTGCATTATGGCCCCCCTGGTGATTCTGACGATTGTAACGATTGGACATTCCGTCTTCATGTTTTTGTTTCGTTTCGACCCTCTGGGTATTGTGGTAGGCGCGGGTGATGGGTAAAGCCTAGCCCCGACGTCTCACCGAGATCAGATGAACGCGATTTGCTTCGTCGCCTCTGATTCTCTAAAAGTTTGAGACAAGTTCCTCAGTCAATGTTTCTTCTTATTTTTTCCTTCTGATCTGTGTTTCTCACTTTTGCGCTCTGCTGCTTCAGCTTACCTACTTCGGTTTTTGATTACTTTTGTTAGGCCGGTTCTGATTGTCTCCCTCTTATGGGATTGACTCGTGGCTCTCTTAATATGTTATTTGTCTGTGTTTGAATCAATCATCTTGCTCTATCTCTTCTACGTGTATTGTAAACTATCCTAGTAGACTACCTCCGTACTTCTAAAGACTATGTGTAACTCCCTGGTACCATATCCTTCCCTCATAGATATACGACCGAACGATAATATATCTGCATCTCCCTCAAGTGAAAGTGAAAGTAATCTAGTCCAGCTCAGACTTGCCTTTAAAATGCCTCATAAACACACCCCGATCCCCCAACCACCCTCCATCTCATACCATCCGCACTCACAACCCTTCTCCTATCTCCCCCTCCCTGTACCAAAACCCTAAACAGCACTCCTTTCCTCCGCATCTTGCCTGCTTCCATTCAACACGAGCAACGCACCGTCCGGGGACTGCTATTGCTCTATGCGTGAACGAAAGAGGGTGGGAGACACAGGAGATGGGGCGTTTGAGGTTCTGGTGTGCAGATGCGGGTATTTGAGATGGGTGGATGGGTGTGTCTGTGGATGTAGTGTATGGAAACGAAGGACGGTTGTTGGGTGAGGTAGGTTTCGGAAGTATCTGATTCCATGTTCTGTCATCATAGCCGGTGGAGGGGGTAGGGATAGAGATAGAGAAGAAGATGGAGATGGAGATAGAGTAGAGGGGGGAAATAAAAGGAAGAAAAGAAGGATATCTATAATGGAGGATAGAAAGAAAGAGTAGGTAGATGGATGATGGATGTGTAGGAAGAAGAAGAAGAAGAAGAAGTGGATACGCATGCGTAAAGCACCTCAGAACGAAACAAACAAGCAGCAGAAATCCATCCGCCACAAGTCTCCCTCAGCTCAAAGCATCCGTACCCCTCGACCTCCCCGTCTCCATCTTCGCCGTCCGCGCGCCAAACTGAATAGCCCTCTTCTTCTCACGAGAAACCTTCACCAAGCCCAGCCGCAGAGCAACCAGACGCAGCGCCAGCTTCTCGGCATCGATACCAGCCGTAGCCTCGATTTCCGGGAGTCCGAACCCGCACTTCTCCCACACAGGAGCCTGCAGCGTCCAAGCCACGAACTCCTCGTCCAGGAATGGGAAGCGCGTTTCGCGGCCCCAGTGCGAGAGGACGCGGTCGTCGCGGCCGAGATTGCGCGACCCGAGTCGACTGACGTCAAGCTCGATCTCGGCGATTAGGTCTTTGAAGCCGCCGCGGTTGAAGGCCACGCTGTGTCGGCCGTAGCCGGCGAAGAGCTCGTCGGCGCCTAGGCCGGAGAGGAGGACGCGGGAGGAGGTTGTGTACGTGGGTGAGGGAGTGTCTGGGGTTGGGAGTTGAGCTGAGGGGTTTGTTTGGGCTGTGCCTTGGCCGCGGGATGCGAAGTACAGGGCGCATGCGATGGACATGTCCATTTCTGTGTTGTGGGGTCTCATTAGGCGCTTGACTTGCTCCCGGTGTGCGAGAGTTTCTGTGTAGGGGATGTCGATGGCGATGAAGCGCCATGTGCGGCCTGGACAGGTTGCTTGGAGCTCGATGTGGGCGGACCGGCCGGTTATCCGGTCTGGGCAGTTTTCATATATTGAGAGGGGCGGGGAGGAGGGGGATTTTTGTTGGTTGGCTTTTGCGGCGGCTGCCACTCGCGGGTTTTCGAATGCTACATTGAGGAGGTCGATTGGTTCTTCGAGGGGGAGAATGTCGTGAGAGAGTCTGGCGAGAAGTGTGCAGTCTAAACCACCGGAGAAGAGAACGGCGGTTTTGGCCGTCTGGCCTACAATGTAGCCTGGAGGCTCGGGGATGTTCTGTATTCTTAATTCGAGGGATTGAAGCAGTTTTGACTCGAGCTCCTGGACGAATACTGAGTCTGTTGTCAATGCAGGAGGCTGCTCTGTTGGTAATGATGTATTCATAGGTGGGATTGATTTTCTCTTGGTCTCTTGTCAGTTGCTGCTCGCGGGAAGATATGGTAGACATACAATGTGACCAGCTGGAAGTGAAGCAGCAGAGCTCCATGGCAAGGTCTCGATTTTGCACAACTCTCTGGCAGATAAAGAAGGATCTTGATAGCGAGCTAGGTCAATCGTACAAACGCCCTCGGTGCCCACTTCCTTGAAGCAATCCAGCGATGCGCTATCACAAATGCTGCAAATCTTCAAATTTCCATTTTCATCAAATCCCTCGAGGAGCGATCGCCTCCCAAGACAATCCCTGCTGTAGAAGAGCCTTGAGTTGACCGCATCATAGAAGACAAAGGCAAATGGCCCAGAGAGACTTGCAATGGCTTCAGCCATTCTCTCAACAGGATAATTCTGATCACCCTTCACTGCCTGTAGAAATAAGTTGAAAACGCGTTCGGTATCATTGCCTTGGACGCGCTCCCCAGCGATCTTCCAGGCTTCTCCGTTCCAGCAGAGCACAGACTGGGTTGTGGGGTCTACAAGTGGTTGTGTGTACACATGGTCACCTCTCAATGAGAGCACTGTGGATGTGAAGGTGAGATAATAGGAAAGGGGCGGAGACACTCCATCCTGTGCGTTGATATCTTTTTGCGCCGTATGAGTTTTGTAACTGTCTGGTCCTCGCTTTTGGAGCAGAGTGCAGGTCTCCTGTGTCGGTGGTGTCGACTTTGACGAGCTCAATGAAAAGAAAATCCCACACATGACGGAGGGACAGGTGGGAGTGTTGTTTATTCTGAGATGGTCAGCTTGGGCTTTTTTTTGGATATAGAGGTGCCTGAGGCATTAAGGCATTAGTCATTATATCCACCCGCCTTGTCACCAGCGGATGCACTTACGACGGATTGGAAGATGTTGAACTCGTAGATGGTTTATTACTAGGTGGTGTCTTTTAAGAATGAGTTCGACTCTGAAATCCGTGAAAGGAGACGGGCATCATGCAAGTGCCTATCTTCGAAGGTCTGGAGTACACAGGCTGAGCAATGTTAGAACTACATATAGGTATGGAGTAGTAAATACATCTCTTGCCGAGTGAGAAATCCATAATGATACTGTGAAGTCAGCCTCCTTAAGATAACCCAACCATCTGGGCACTCATTCCTCTATACATTATTAATAGACACCGCCTGAATCGAGAGGCGGACTACCTCGGTTGAATGATGATCCGTACATCAATATGAGGAGCCGCATGAGCATACTTGGAGTCTTCATGACCCCCTGAATCTATTTTTTTTGCCCGGGCGCATATGACTAACATAGCTTATGTCGGCCACAGAATCCCCGTCCTCTCCGGGTCCCGATACGAGAGACGTCCCCCATATCCATGAACACACCGAAACGCCGGCCGCTCCAACCGACCGCCTAGCTCAAACACAGGACGGTCTCGTCAGACCAGACAGCAGTCAAATAGTCCAAATGAGCGCGCAGGATACAACAGAGGCACACCCCGCGGCTACTCCCTCCGATCCCGCCGCGATGGACTTGACGACTGCCCAACCACCACAGGCTGAGGCTGAGCAACTTGCGGGGCAGCTGGAAGGACTGTCGGTCTCCGGAGATGCGACTCCAAATCTGTCATCCAGCGCAAATACTCCTCCGCCCCCTCCGCCCCAGAAAGATGATGTCTACCTCAACCTGACAAGTTCTACGACCACTGCGCCAACGCTGCCATCTATCGATCCAAACCACACCCCCGGCCCCGAAAAAGAGCTCCCAGATGTGCCTAGTGACAGTGACCCGGAATTTAAACGAGCTGGTCAGGCTGAAGGACCTCGGGACGATAATGCCTCCCAGCCAGAGATTCAAAGTATCATGGGACAATTCCAGGACCCCGCGCAGAGCACCGACCAAAATGTGATCATGTCACCACGGCTTGAGCTTGCTGAGCAACTGCGAAGCGGTCCAACATATTTCCCGCCACGCCAATCCAGTTTGGACCATGCGGCTTCCACCGAGTCCGTGACCGCTCCGGTCGCTACCCCGGAGAAGCAGCCTGTATCCCAACGTCCGCAGATGCCCGAATCGCCGGTACCAAACCGGAGAGCGTCCACCTCGACGATCCTACCGCTGCCGGAACCAGAGCCTGACCAACCATTCGATTTTCACCGCTTCCTAGAACAGCTGCGACACCGCACCGCCGACCCCGTAGCCAAGTTTCTGCGGTCATTCCTCATGGAGTTTGGCAAGAAGCAATGGATGGTTCACGAGCAAGTCAAGATCATCAGCGATTTCTTGACGTTTATCACAAATAAGATGGCCATGTGCGAGATCTGGCGAGATGTTTCGGATAGCGAGTTCGACAATGCCAAGGAAGGCATGGAGAAACTTGTTATGAATCGTCTGTATTCGCAGACTTTCGCCCCAGCCATTCCATCTCCACCGACGATACCCAGAAGCGCAAGTCGGACCCGACGGAGAGAGCTAGAGAGGCTCCATGGGCCGTGGCGACGTGGCCAGCATCAGGAGGACGTTGAGCGAGACGATATCCTGGCTCAGAAGATACGCATTTACAGCTGGGTCAACGAAACACATCTGGACATCCCGACTGTGAGCGGTGGTGGACGCCGTTTCTTGAATCTGGCACAGCAAGGTATGTACTATGTTCTGGAGATTTTCCAACTTGACTTTTCTGACTTTGCTTGACAGAAATATCAAAAATCAATGGCTACCGGGCTCCTCGAGACAAGGTCATTTGCATCTTAAACTGCTGCAAAGTCATATTTGGTTTATTAAAGAATTCCAAAAAGGCCGACACATCTGCCGACTCTTTCATCCCCCTCCTGATCTATGTGGTTTTGCATGCAAACCCTGATCATCTTGTTTCTAACATCCAATATATTCTTCGATTCCGCAACCAGGATAAACTGGGCGGAGAAGCAGGTTATTACATTTCATCGTTGGTATGTTTGACTTCCATACTGCCATAGATATCCAAACTAACCTGTCCTAGTCTGGAGCCATCCAGTTCATCGAAACTCTCGACCGCACAAGTTTAACAGTCAGCGACGAGGAATTCGAAAGCAACGTCGAAGCCGCCGTGTCCGCTATCGCAGAACAAAACCGGGAATCAGAAACCTTCGAAGAAAAACCTCCCACTCAACCCCCTCCATCTCAGCCCCAGGCTGGACCAAGCCGCAAAGAAACTACTCAATCCAGTGACGAAGACACCGCCCCAGTCGCAGGACTACTACGCACTATCCAAAACCCCCTCTCCACCATCGGCCGCATCTTCTCCGACGACGGAGATTCAGGCTCCGCTCCTCAAGAACGTCCTCAGCCTGTCCCGACACCCCAACCAGGTGTTGCTCCTCCCCGTCTCACTCCGAATGTCTACCAGCCACCCCGCGCAAGCAGCGAGGACCGCCGCTCAGGCGATGAGCGCGCCCGCGGTAGCGGAACCTCTGCGAAGAAGAATCTAAGCCGTGTGCTCGACGCTCAGGATGCTGCCGCACGCCAGGCTAGTGCTGAAGATGCGGAGGCGCGTCGCATCCAACGCGCTGAACATAATAATGTTGTCGAGACACTCTCGAACATGTTTCCCAACCTGGATCATGATCTTATTGACGACGTCGTTAAGATGAAAGAGGGAAGGTGAGTACTTGAAAAGGTTTATACTATTGGATCTTTACTAACTGTTCCTCGCAGGGTTGGTCTAGCTGTTGATGCTTGTCTTGCTCTCAGCGCAGAGTAGTATATAGAATAATGTAGCATCTTCGCTTGTTCGGGGATAACATGTCAGGAACAGTCTCAGCGGCAATTCTGTCTCTCTCATCTTTGACTTGAAATAAATAGCCCCAGAGGTGTATCTTTCTTAAAAATATAATATCGCCTCCTTCGCCCGGCAGAGGTACATCCACCAACTGGAACTATCAATTATTGCAGCTGCTAGACTGAAGTATCTATTTAATTGAAATAATATATTTATATGCATCTGTGTATAAGCTGTTAAAAAGGGATGGTCATCGGCAGTTGAACAGGGATGAATGCCTCAAACCCCAGAGATCCTCGGCTCTTCCCCGCAAAACCGCGGTCTCTCGGAATTTTAGTGAACTCATTCTCCTTTAAAGAGTAACATATTACAATAATTCCGATTTGGAATAAATACAGTCTCTTCTTCTCCCTAGAGGCAACATTGCACACCATGTCGTCCCCCTTCCGCATCATTGAGCATGTCGTGCCCACTCAGCACATTAGGGAGTATCCTGGCGCCACGGCCAACGACCAAGAAGAGCCCCTATATCTGGCCGTGAAACAATATATCCCACTCGACAATCCCAATCCACAACCAGGCGACATTACCATCCTTGGTGCCCACGCGAATGGCTTCCCCAAGGTATGAGATACAAGTGCCGAGGTCCAGACCCGCTTTGGGCTGCGCGCATAGCGATGGCCCTGGAAGCATACAACCTAGAATCGGCGATATATTGATCATTTCTCGCAGGAACTATATGAACCACTTTGGGAGGAAATCTACGCTCGGTCTAAGCAGAATGGGATGCGCATTCGCGGTATCTGGATGGCCGACGTGGCGCAAGAAGGCCAGAGCAGCGTGATCAATGAAGACTCCCTCGGAAATGACCGTATGTGTATGAGTACCTTATGAGAAGCAATTGATACTAACTCTATAACAGCTAGTTGGTTTGACCACCCCCGAGACCTCCTCCACCTAATCAACGTCAAGCGGGCTGAAATGCCCCGGCCTATCGTTGGCATAGGGCATAGCATGGGAGGCGCCCATCTGTAAGTTCCACCAACCATCACATTCACACAGCAGCTAGCTAACCTACTCCTAGAGCACAACTGTGCCTAATGCACCCCCGACTCATCCACACACTAGTCCTCCTAGACCCAGTGATCCAGCGCCAAACCACGCAACTAGACAATCTCAGCCTGCAAATCAACAAGCGCGTGATCGCCAAAACTACCCAACTATCAACCCACCGGCGCGATCTCTGGCCCTCCCGCCAAGCAGCCGCAGAAAGCTTCCGCCGCAGCCCCTTCTACCAAACCTGGGACCCACGAGTGCTATCCCGCTGGATCGAGTACGGCCTGCGCGACCTCCCAACAGCCATCCACCCACTAGACCCCAAGACCCCGATAGACAAAACCACCGGGCCCCCAGTAACACTCCGAACTACACTACACCAGGAAGTCTTCACCTTCTCGCGGCCAAACTACACGAACATCCCTAACAGCACCAAGCCCGTCAACCGCGTCACACACCCAGACCTAGACGCAACCCATGCACACAGCTACCCCTTCTACCGACCAGAGCCAGCCCGAATCTTCGCTCAGATTCCTTTCCTGCGTCCTAGCGTGTTGTACATCTTCGCCGGCAAGTCGGACATGTGCGGGCCCGATATGCGCGCCGATAAGCTCGCTAACACCGGTACCGGACTGGGCGGCAGTGGCGGCGTGGCTGCGGGCCGTGTGAGTGAAGTCTTCCTCGAGGATTTTGGTCATCTCCTTGCCCAGGAGGCTGTGAATGAGTGCGCTGATGCGGCGGTTTGTTGGCTTGCGCCGGAGATCCGTCGCTGGCGGGCGGAAGAGGAGAGTTTCCGCGCGGCTTGGAGTCGGAAGTCTAAGATTGAGAAGGTTACTGTTGATGCGGAGTGGTTGGAGAATGTTCCTGCGCCAGCGCGTAGGCCGAAGGCGGTACAGAATGGGGAGTCGAAGCTATAGGTGAATGATTTGTTCGTAGAAGTATAAACCATATATAGTTTGCTTTTAGATTATTCTACATCTGAATATAGAACGGTCAAGGCTCGTCTGAGTGTTTTTCTATTTCTTTCAGGCCCTATGAATGAGTTCGCCGAATCAACGACTATAATAGTTCACAAGCCCGACCCCGTTCTATAGCAACGACCCCCGTGCGCCCCCAATTAAAAAACAAGAGCAAAAGGTATCTCTATGGTCCAAGCCAAAAGATCCGTCTCCGGGACGAATGGTGTTCGCGAAAGCAACGCCAAGAAGATTATAAAGAAAACAGTGCTCTGCTCCGAGTCTCGCGGCAAAGGACAGACAGGAGCGTGGTATCTATTTTATGTCGAGGGTCACATTTGCAAGAGTGTGGTATATCGCCACCCATAAAAATTGGGTGCGAGTAATGAACCAACTGGGAGAGAGAATGTCTCGGCAGCTGTTTCACGTTGACTTCTTGGCTCGGGCTACCGCGGATTCGGATGGCACATCCGAGGTGCGGACCACTTCGGGAATCTGCCAGAAGTGCACCCAGCGCAGGTGGTATTTGTCTTGTTCGTTGTTGAGACAGTGGCGGAGCCAGATTCCCCACGTGATATAGAGATAAGCACCGATGCCAGTCATGATATGCCTGCAAGTGAGAATGAATTAGCAAACAGACCATAGCAATTCATAGTAGGTTGAGCACATACCACCAACCATGTCCTTCCAATAGGAGACCCCATGGAAGACCAACAGAGCGGCGATACCGACGGATCTCAGAGCAGTATATGTTGTCCAAGCCCCAGATGAAGAAACCGCCCAAAAACATGCTCAGTCCATATATCACCATGAACCACATGGTCTTGAGGGTCTTCATGTCGCGCACATTCTCGTAGTTCTGGCGCTCCTTCGTCGGAACGGGAAGTCCCATCCTCTGGCGTGCTAGGCGGTCCTCTTCCGTCGAGTGGCGCCATCTGGGTCGGAGGGTTGTTTCCATAGTGTGCATGCTACGGAAGACGACGACGGTAGTCAGGCACGCGTATGCATTCTGGTGGAAGACTGGGTCTTGGAGATAGTGGTAGTACAGGGTGATGAATACAGCGAGACCTGTGAGCGTAATTCCGAGAAAGACTCGTACGGTGTTGGTCCGGGAGTACGAGAATGAGGCATATGCCATAAGGCAAGTGGTATAGATCATCGAGAGTTCGTCCACTAGCTGCATAGGGTCTGTTGTGGGGTTCACCGGTCAGTATTGCTCTTGCGATCACTCATATCGTTTAAGACATCTTTGGTGGGGGCCCGCCGCCCTTGACCACATCTTGGGGTTAGTGTATAGGAAACTTACACTTGAGGGTCGAGTGAAACAGAAAGCTTCCTGTGCCGACTACTAGGTAGCCAACGAGGGCGACCGTGAAGATTTGGTCATGTCCATTACGACGGCAGCTGCGAATGCCCTGGACTCCAAGCCACATGAACAGCAAATTCGTGAGTGTATTGACAATCTCCGCGGCATAGGGGGTAGCATAATAGTCCTGCGCAAAGAAATATATCAGCCTAGTTCTTGCCTCTGCGCTTCCTCATGGTTGGAAATACACACCTCTTCGCACCAGTTCAAGGTGGAAGTGACAGGCTCCCAGTATCCGGCCTTTGCGGTCGGATACGGAAAGAAGGGCAAAGACCAAGGCATTTATGCTGTATACCAAGGTAGTATAGATGTCGACTCTGTAAGGTCTGTAAGGTCTGTAAGCCCTATAATGTCCTCGAAATTCAAAGAGAAGGGAAAAGAGAAAAGAACAACAAAAAGCACATGACGTCGATAACCCACGGGCTCGTTGGTCCGTGCACACTCCGCGAGATGCCGGATGCAGTCGATTTCTTCACTCGAGGGCTATTTATTGACATATTTGTAATTAAATTTCGATATTTACTTCGATATCGACTTCTCTATTTGTGTTTGTATGTTTCTGCTTGCGTTTGGGGCTGTAAAACAGTATGCATATGCGTTGGAATGATCTACATGAAGTACTCCGTACTCCGAACATACAACAGCCTTACGGTCAAAGAGCCGCATGTGGGATAGTATAGCAGTCATACCATAGTCATACTATGTGGTTGACTTTAGAGTGCCCTGAGCTACTTGAACTATAACTATTCATTGCATAATACTAATCTTCTACTCCGAATATTGTACAATGTATAAAATCAACATAAAATGCCAAGCGGTGTGGCTTATCGATAGCCATTGCTGACCCCGATGACTTCACTGTTTTTCAACGTCTGTCGGCGACCTCGGCAAGACTCAGCACTTGCATTTGCTCTCGATCTTGTTCAATTCTATTTCCCCTCGTTGAATCCCTGGTGGAATGCAAGCCAGTGCCCACATTTGACTGAGACCGTCTTTGTGGACCTCTCTTGTTTTTTTTTTCCGCATCCGGTGGATACGTCTGCCTGACCGCTACGCATACGCGACATCCATGGAGCTCGATCTGGCATTGAATCCTCTACCTTTAAAATAAATATATTCTCTGTCGCCGAAGTCGCGGCCCGGGTTGATCCAGCAATGTCGCAAAATAACACCCTAACGGTGCCACAGGTGAAAACCAACACCTCAACAAGTATGTTTCTGTCCAAGCTCCAATCATTTCCATTTCATTGCTAATCATAATCTGCTTACTGCTATAGCCTCAAAAACACCCTTTCACTTTGCTGCTGGTCTTTGCTCTGGCCTTACCTCCTCCATCCTTCTCCAACCCGCCGACCTCCTCAAAACCCGAGTCCAACAGTCCCAGGGAGCCGCCCTCCTCCCGACTTTGAAGGCTATTATATCCTCTCCGCATCCAATTCGCGGATTATGGCGGGGTACACTTCCTTCAGCCCTCCGCACCGGCTTCGGGTCGGCAATATACTTCACCAGTCTCAACGCATTACGCCAAGCCGTTGCGCAAACCAACCCCAAAGCCTTGACCAATCCGGTAACAAGCGCTAGGTCATCATCTGTCCTCCCAAAACTCTCCAACACAGCCAATCTCACCACGGGAGCCGTCGCAAGAGTCGCCGCAGGCTTCGTAATGATGCCCGTGACCGTGATCAAGGTCCGTTACGAGTCGGACTACTACGCATATCGCAGCCTAATGGGCGCAGGCCGGGATATTGTCCGCACGGAAGGCCTGCGTGGGCTCTTCGCAGGATTCGGCGCCACTGCCGCTCGCGATGCCCCATATGCGGGTCTTTATGTTCTCTTCTACGAACAATTAAAGCGACGGTTCGCCTTGATGGCCGCGAAACCCTCTAATAATGGCGAGGCACCCACCGCTGTTTCGTCCTCGTCAATACACTTCGTCTCTGGTGGAGCGGCCGCCGGCATGGCGACTGCAATCACCAATCCTTTTGATGCCGTCAAGACCCGGTTGCAGCTGATGCCTGCTAAATATGGGAACATGGTGCATGCTACGCGCTTGATGATCCACGAGGATGGCATGCGCAGTCTCTTTGGTGGACTTGGTATCCGCATGGCTCGCAAGGCTATTAGCTCCGCGCTGGCATGGACTGTCTATGAGGAACTCATCCTGCGCGCTGAGAGACGGTGGGAAACGAATCCCCAGATGGGTCTTTAGGCTTGTGTTTTCTGCCTTTCCTGCCCTTGGCTATCTCCCTCCCTCACATCATACCCATTCCACTTTCTGTATTATAGTCCGTTAAGACCCCATTCTAGCTCGCGTCTGGGTCCGTGCTTAGAGATGCATATCTGCATTGAGATTGACCCAATGGGAGGTTTTCTTACACAAAGCTGAGGCCTGACATGTATATTGTACTGCATCTGCATATACTGCTTATCATATCATCCCCGACCCCAACTTTCCATTTATACTAGGGGTATGCCCCAACCTAGCTATACCAAGCCTATGCCCGTGAGATGTTCACTACATGCGTAGATTAGACAGGGTATACAAAGTAACCGGTACGACGAGAGAAGATAGAATCAGAATAAAAACATAGTCATCAGTTCATATCGCGTTACTATACTACCACATGCTCTGTGATATAAAAAGAAACACCCAAAAAAAAAACAAACAAATCTTAACAAAACACAACTTGGCACAATCTCAACAAGAAACCAATAACAACGTTTACATATACCGGAATCCAAATTTCTTGTCACACATCAATCATAGGCAAAACAGCGCTGAATAGGAAACCATTTATGCGAAGACGCGCACGCGGCCCGAAGGGCTCTTCTTCCGGACCAGGAACATCTTGTCCTTTCGGCGGTCGTTGACTTTCAGTTCGGTCATCGAGTGGGATGTCTCGGTGAGCATCTTGGTCTCGCGTAAACGTCGAGTGTGGGCGAAGAGCTGTTCTTGGAAATCGTCGTCGATCCACTTCTTGATGATGATGTAGTTGTTGTCATGCTGTGAACGTGTTAGTCTGCATTGCACACACACGGGGGGTATGGTTCTTACCTCATCCCAATCCCAAGGCAGGCCGTAGGCTATCAAGGTCTCTGGCATCAAGTGCTTGCGATGGACCTGGGATAGTGTTAGTTGAAGCCCTAGTATATGGAGGGATGTATAGAGTACTCCATACCTTGATCCATGTGATCTTCTCTTCCTTCCTCTCGTCCCTTCGCTCTTCCCTCCTCTCTTCCCTCCTATCTTCTTCCTTCTCTTTCTTTTCTTCTTTTTTCTTCTCGTCGTGTTTTTTCTTATTGATGATGCCGTCGATCTCCTCCTCGCTATAGCCAATGCTGCGGAGGTGCTCGCGGAACTCCCTCGCCTTCTGCATGGCCTCCTCAGCCTCCCTCTGCTTCCTCCGCTCCTGTTCAAGCTTCCACTCTTCAACAGCAGCAGCCTTGACAGCGAGCTCCTTCTTCCTCTTCTCCTCGGCTTCCCTTGCCTTTCGCATATCCTCATCTCGGATCTGCTGAATGAGCTTTTCGCGCTCCTCCTCTTCTTCCTTCTCCCGGGCAAGCCGTTTCCACTTCTCCTCTCGCACAAGCTTGTCCCGCGCCTCTTGCTCCTCCGTCAACCTTGCCAGCTCCTTCCACTTTTCCTCCCGCACGAGCTTCTCCCTCTGTATTTTCTCATCCTGAGCGCACGCAATTTCCTTCAACCGCTCCTCCATCAGTTTGCGTCTAACCTCCTCTTGCTCAGCAGCGGCTCTTTTCTCCGCCGCCAGCTGCTTGAGCTGGTAGCGCTCCCCAGCCTTGCGCTCCTCCTCCTCGGATAGATGCTTACGCTCGAAGTGCTGCAGCTTACGCAGCCGATCCGAGATCTCTTCCTCGTACTCTAGCTCCTCCCTGAGCATGCGAGAGTCGTGCGGATCGGGCTGGTTCACAATGATTTGCTCGCGCGAACGTGAATGCTCATGTGAACGCTCCTGCTCGGCGCGCCGAGACTTTTGCAGCTCCCGCTGGAGCCGTTCGATCTCCTGCTGATGCTTCCAGAGATCCATGTCCTGGCGGAGGTCATTGCGCTCCAGCAATTGTTGGCCTATGTCTTGCCGGATGTCGTTGCGCTCCATCATGTGTTGGTTCATAGCCAGCTCGTGATCACGTTGGAGGGGAGAGGCTGTGCGCGAGACGTTGCTGACGGCGCGCTCACGGCGGCGCGGGGCGACAGGCACCTGCACGATGTCTTCCTCCTCTTCATCCTCGAAGCGGTTGACGTTGTACTTATCGCTGAACCGCTGCTGCACTCGTCGAGACTGGGGCTTGTTCTCCGACCGGCTCTCTGATTTCAGCCCTTGCTCGTTGAAAATCATTACCGCCGGTGCGGTGGGTGCCACTGGTAGTTCATACTCGCGGTGTCGGCTACTGATCGAGGCCGACCGGGGTACACGGGTTTGGATAGGTGGTGTTATGTACTCGCGTGTGATGATTTCCGGGCGGCGCTGGCGAGAAACAGAGCGCTCGCGGATATGGGTTCTGACACCTGTTCGCCGGGTGGAGACGTCGGTCTCAAACTCCGAGTCGTGAGAAGAATACTCGTCGTCATACATTGCTCGTACGGGCATTTTTGGCTGGGTTGCGACCAGTCGGGTATTGATAATATAGATTCCCTGATAGAGGGGCGCTGGGCGGGGTTATCACAGAAGATACGAGAGATACCCCAAGAGAAAGCGAGAGAAATGAGAAGTAAGCTGAAGAATAAAAACTGGCTGAAATACTCGAAATTTGTGTACGAGAGGTGTGCGCTTAGATCTTCAGCCAAAGCGGGGGAGGGGTTGGGGAGAAAGAGAAAAGGAAAAAGGAGGAAAGCCAGGGAGTGCCCTTTTATTTTGTTCAGGCGTCATGGGCGTCATTTTTAATTCACACTGTATTTCAGCCTCATGCATAATCTTTGGATTCGACTCGAGAATCTTTTCCTTCGACAGACTCCACCCTCTTTCTTATATTCCCTTCTATCCTTCATATACTATTTCCAGATTCCCTCACTGTTGTACTCGGTACATTGTCCACACTGTCTACTCCCACTCCAGCGTTGGGATACCATCATCACCAAGGCCCCACTTCGAGTCCATTCTCGAGGATTGATGTTAGCGCCGTTGACACCGAGGCACTCTAATATTAGTTCTTTTAGACCACACATTAGGCAGTGTCGCGACACAGACCCGCGACACATGAAACCACATTCTTTGTATACGGAACTCAAACCAGACCCTTCGCACTAACTTTGAATGAGCCGTTGAGCACGCATCCAGGAGACATCAGGCGGTTACTGAAACCGTGTTTGTTGTGATCTCGTTTTCCTGTGGATCACCGAGTCGCGTCTTGAACCCGTACGGAGCACTTAAACTGGGTCCCCTTTAGCGCTGAGTCTTCCGACCTAATATGTTGTATCCATAATCGGGACTTCGAGATACCATTCGCTGCAACACTGCATTGGGCACCAACAATGTCTCATGTCTTCTCCATCCCAGGCTCCATCCACGGTTGATCTATATCCATTTTAACACACAGTAGCTCGCCGGGTGGGGCTTTGCACCCATGGATATTAGTCGCCGCTTTTACGGGGGCGAAGGATTGCGCCCACTTGGACTGAGTGACTCGGCGAAAAGCGGCGGGAAAACAGCCGGAAATGGAAATTTCATAGCTGGGAACGTGATGCTATCCATGGAACGCAGCGGTGAACCTGTGGACGAGGTCGGGTGCTCCCGTGACGTGACCCATGGACTGCTGACTCCCGCACCCGACTGGCTTCTCTTGGTTCTTCGTCACGTCTATAAACACTAACATTTGACTACATTTCAAATTTCTAGTCCTTGAAGACCAGAATCTATGGAAGTTGTACACGGCCGTGTCGGTGCGAGTCTCCAATACCCCACTACATCAGTCTTCTGACTGTACGGAGTAATTCAAAGCGACTACTCCGTAAGTGGAATATCACTAGTTATATTCCCACCACATGATTGGATGAAAGAGGGGGGCAGTCACGTATATCCATCTTTCTGACACCCTAGGCTAAAGCTATGGAGCTGGACAACGCATAGCTGCAAATAATATCACAATCCTTTCTAGTTGCCACTGGCCCAAGGGTTGGCACGGCATTTCTATCCAAGGCAAAAGACACAATATCAGAACCATGGGAAGCCAGAGATTGATATAACTACACACTCCACTTAAGCATTGCTATCAAACTTAATGTTGAGACACCTAACCCGGAAATCCTCTGAGGCCTGATCCTCGTACTCCAGAATCATCAATTTCAAATCCGAAGCTAGTACCAATGTGATCGAGGCCTGTTGCTAGATTGATCCACTTGCAGATTCCGAAGATGGAGCAGACAAGGCCTGCTTGGCTGTCGTACGATTACGATTCAAACCGATATACCCATACCCATAGTCTCGCCCATTCTATTCTCGAATCTATTAATTCACTGCGTAAAGCGGATTCCGTTCGGCATCTCCGAGATGAACTCATGTTGCCATGAGGGAGGGACAGGATAAAGGTCAGAGCTCATATGGACTAGTACGTGCCCGACTAATACAACATAGTACCACAGACCAACGCCATTGGCGTCATCTCTGTAGCCAGGCCCATTTTACCCGGACAATGACGTAGATATTGGCAGCATAGGCGCTCATTCCTGGAATGAGAACTGATAAGACATGATTCATGTGACAATACCAAATGGAAATGTTTTCTGTGGACTTTGCGCTACTGACCTTTTCTACCTTGGATCCTTGAGGACCTTGTTGAAGTATACTTTCGATCAGACCCCTTTGCATATCAGCCCTATCAAATTGCCATTTTGGTGAGACACTATGCAGATATTAGGCACCTACCTTGTACGCACCTTATTGCATGTCGTGTAATACTAGACAGCCTGAAATAAGTAAATTTAAACGTGCTTCGCATTTGACCCTTGCATCGTCGGAAATGGCAGCTGCAGCACTATGAGCTACTACCCCACAATGCGCTTGACAGCTAGCACAATGAACATATTAAATTGGGATGTTGGCACCGAGGCTACGTATTTCTCGTTAGACGAAGATCAATCAACTCTTAAATCCAGGATTAGGATTAGATAAGAAACCACAGAAGGGGAGGATACCTGTGTAAGCAAAGAGATTATAATGGTACGCTCTTTCCTCGCTTGATTCATTCAAGAAAGACATTTTTGCAAACAAAACTCCGGGTATCTAAGTCACCAGCCGGCAATCCAAGTATGTATAGTCGCCAGAACGTGACCAGGAGCCGGACATAGAAGGGCAGATATTGTACCTTCCGTGCATCTCCCCGGCATAGTGTATCATATCCACCAACCCATCGCAGGTCCGCCCGGAAGAAAATGACAGAGCAGAATCAGCCTTGTCCGTTCCTGCCCATTAATATTCACATTCGCGAGAATCGCTAAACCTTTGGTATAAAGATACCACAATCAAGGATACCCGCCACATGGGAGCGCATCGCGTTCGCGTCTCGCTCTCGTCTCATATTCTTATTCCAACAATCTACTCACGCCCTCCCAGACTTGAGAATCTGCTCCAAGTTCTCACGACTCTTCTGGTTCGTCGTCTCGTGATATTGCAGCTTCTTCTCGAGGTTGGAGATCTCAGCGGTGGCCTCGCCACTCTCGCGCACAAGACGCTTGTTGACTATGCCGACGGGAACGTTGACGAACCTAGAACAGGGCGATAAGTCAGTTTCATTTCACGAGAAAAGGGGCGAATGAGTGATCTCGCCGACTGTCTCACAGTTTCGGGGTTGCGAAATTGAAAACAGGAAAAGAAATGTGATAAGAAACAAGAAGCCAGGATAGGAAAGAGAAAACAAAAGCTCACATTTTCCCGACACCCTCGTAAACATTCGTATCAGAAGGCAACTCAGACAACTCCTTCGATGTAAGCTGTAGCATGCGGATATCGCGCTGCTTGGCCGTCATATGAGCCTTGGTGATACTGATCTGCTGCTGCGAGGAGATCGCACGGGTCTCAATCTCCTGGAAGAGCTGTAGTTGTTTAGAGCCATTAGCATTTGCTTGTCTTTATTGGAATTGACGTCCTCAACCGGAAACAGAGACAAGAGGCTGAGTGAGACCGAATTGGCTTGGCACACCGCTTCCCATGACCATCTGCTCGCGGTATCCCACACAAATATGTAAAATGATTCAGTCTAAGACACACCTTCTGGAGAGCTTCGTTGGGAATCGACATCTTGGCTGTGGATTGTCTTCGGAGCTTGGATGCGGTTGAGGGGTAGGAGGTAGGAGGGGTGCGGAGGACGGGCGGAGGTGAATTTGTTTTGTTGTGGACTCCGGATTAGAGGTTTGATTTTCTCGCTGGAGGAAATGGGTATCGATCGATTGATTTTTATTGAACTGTTTCGCACGGGTGTCTCTGTCAAATGTCTTGGCCAACAGGATCAATTCGACTTGCTCGGCGAAGCCTTGGGGTTGAGGCGGTGGGCAGGCGGGGCGGTGGAGTATTGCCTGACTTAGGGCTCGAGGTATACGAGAGGTATACGAGAGGTGTGTCAGGTCTCAGAGAGAGCATGGAGTTTGTGTTGGGAAAGGCAGATTGATGTGTTTGTCACTATTATGTGTCTCTTTGGTTGAAAGGATCTAACTGGATTAGATCAAGGTTGACTTCAGACATTCACACCGTATGAACTGTCTAGGAAGCGCAGGCGCAATACACCTAGAGCCCCTTGAGTTAAAAAGAAAAAAATGAGACAGAGGTCTTTGGTATTCAAACCAATTTATTAGAAAGAGATACCTATATGTTCTGTCTAGCAGGAACGACATATTCATACAAGAATTGTATGCACCAGGCTCATGACAGTATTTTGGACTTGAATAGCTTCATTCAAAGTGGCTAGTCCTATTCCAAATCTCATAAATAAGAAATCTAGCAGTTTTACTTCAAGGGGCTAAACAAGTTTGCAAAACCAGGCGAACCCATAAAGACATGGAAATCACTAGGACCATTGCCCATCGGGACCTTCCAGCATATGGCAACCGCACGTGAATCTCTCAAGTAGCGGTGTAATAGAGTACGATAGAACGAGACATCATAATATCCCCTGCAAGCCATGAGATCCAAGATCTGTTCGGACATCACTGCCCTTTACAGCATGTGAAGATCCGCGTAGGCTAACTAATCTAAGACCGGTGACAATCAAAAGCAATTACCTAACATCTAACGGCTTCAAGATACGGAATAGAGAAAGATTTGAATGGATATTTGCTAAAAAAAAACCAATGGGCATTAAAAAAATCACGATTCCTCCCAGTGCATAATTCCTTCGACGTGAAAATATCAGAAATCTAAAGACCAGACCCTAAGTATCGAATCGATTTCCAGCCAGATCCGAAATCAAATGAAAGTAAGACAAAGTCCAGATTGATGGGCATGACAGTATGAAAAGTAAAAGACCGAACCAAGGAGATTATTCATGATTCCCGTACGCCCAGACTCCGTCTCCCATTGGCGTGGCCGACTCTGCTCATGTTCTCATCCAGGAGTACAGCAGTAAGTTGGTCAGCCAATTAATAACGTGGGAGACTATGAAAGGCCCGATAGCCATGGGTATTGCTTGAGTGCTTAATAGTTGTTAGAGTTGGGCTCAGTGGAGCACCACATCTCGAACTCAGAGCTGGTGGGGTCAGCCATGCTTTCATGGCGAACCATATCCCATGATGGATCCCGGCCTTCGAGGCTCTGCATGCTGGGGAGGTAGGCAGAGGTCATGCTGGAATGCGCGTATGAAACGGCGCCGGAAGACATGGCCGGCGCCGATGAGGCTGTGTAATAGCCGGTTGGAGTCTCGTCAGCCCAAGTGTATGAGCCAGGGTTGGCATAGGAAGGAGCGGACATGGCGGAAACTCCAGACTCGCCGTTGCTGAGAAGACGGGGGTCCATGTCGTGCATGGGGAGACCGTGCGAGTGAGTAAGCTGAGGCTGGAGCAACTCATGGTGAGTGGCACCAGGGAGACCGGCGAGGGAAGAGCCATATCCCATATCCTGTTGAGGGCTGTTGGAGCGGTAGTGCATGTCTCCGTAGGATTCGGTGGGCTGCATCATTGGGAGGCCACTGGGATGGCTTGTGTTTTGCCAGGAGGGGTGAATATATCCGGGTGTCATCATGGAGTCAGGCCCAAATGGTGAGGAATCCCGGCTACTATCGTAGTAGGCCTCTTCGAAGCTTTGGGATCGTGAGTGGGCGTAAGGAGACCCGCGATACGTCGTCGATCCAAGGTCACTTTCCATGTCAGAGAAACCGCCTTCATCGGCAACATGTCCTGGTGTGAGGGCAGGAGAGCCACTATCACGTCGGCTGGCAGTGGTTGCGGCTTTGTTGGGGGAGAACTTGTAGTTAGGATGTGTTGCGGCATGGTTGTCACGTTCGAGCTTTGCTAGATCTTCGTATTTCCGTCGGATCTCAACCGGCTCTAGCTTCCAGCCCTGGCCAGCGATCTTGGAGACGATCTGGTGGTTGTTCGCACCCACTAGTCGCTTGGTGCGCTCGGCATATGCAGACCGATAAAGCATGAAGGAATTCATGGGTCGAGAGATCTTCCCGTTCTTCTTGCGGACCTCGTCCTGTCGCTCAGAGGCCGATCGAGAGACCCAGGCGTCCATGTCTTTGATAGGAGTAGTGTGAAAAGATTCAGTAAGCTGACTGATGGGTCCCTCAAGCTGGATACCTGAATCGGAGAGTTCTCTCCGGTTACGGTTGCGCCGCTGTCGGGCTGCCCTGACTGGAGCGTCTCTGACTGGTGTTTTAGCACGAGAACTGGGGGACCGTGACCAAGCTGGCGAAGAGGTCCTGGTAGGTGACCCCATTGGGACGAGATCTTCATCAGATACCGGAGGAGGCGTGGTGACCTGGCCAGACATGATCTATCTTGGTCAGTGTCGGTCAATGGAGAAATGGGAGTAAAACTTACCGATTGAGGAGGCATGTGAGGATAACCGGGGACGGTGTAGAACGGAGGAGACCCGTAGTGCTGAGATGGTTAGCATTGCTATGAGGCAACAGCCAGAAGATCAGACTCACTATTTCTTGGCCACTGATTTCACCAGACATCTGCATGTTGATGCACACTGCTCGGTACGTTCCAGGACCTTGGAAGGACTCTTCGGGCAAGGGATGTCCGTCTGTAGATTGGGGAGGTGTAGGAGGAATGGGTCTTGCAACCAAAGTCATTGTTGTGAAGCTGATGAGATAGGATAAAAAGAGGATATGAGTTGAAAGCTAGAGAGGAAAGAAGAGAAAGAGGGTTTCCAGAAAGAGGAAAGAAGTGGAAGAGGTGTAGAATCAAGATATTCTCTGCTGTCCTACGCAGACGGGTTTGTCTCGCAGTTACGCTCTCCTGAAAGAGAGGTCTCAAACACGACTGCAGATGCACCCGCTGGCAGGTGAGACACGCACTGCAACAATCCAATTGGATGTGTGGATGTAGGTAAGTATGAAGACCCTAGGTATGGAGATCAAGTGGATATGTTCAAAGAGGAAAGACAAAAGCCAAAGACTTGGATATTGCCGATTGAAAGATGGGCGGGTCTCGCAATAAATAGAGGAGAGGGGAGAGCAGGCAAGTAGCCAGAGAGGCTGAAACCTCCAGAAGAAGGCCTGGAATACAATCCGCACTCTAGTTCTGGATGTGATTCTGAGATTATTTGGATTAAATCGAAATAGAAATGCAATTTAATATTCTCATTAATGGAATTAATCGCATTTTCCAGATTTATTTAATTGGATTTCGCTTTTCTTTATTTGATTTCCTTTCCTTTCCCTTTTCTACTCTAAATCCAGTGGAGGCGTTCATGGCAGATTATTTACCACTTTGGTCCTAGTCCGTGCTATTGGCGTGATAGGCTGCATTTGCAATATTCCATTCAATGCTGAAATAGCATGGAGATGGATCTGTGACTGCCCTATATCCCAAACATATTGTCTTTGTGCCAAATTTGGACACCTACAAATAGCCTGGAGAGAAAGAAAAAGCTTCGGCTGGGTGACGATGTACGGCTCCAGTATGGAGCCATTGCACTAGGGCAGACCATGGGCCTGTAGGGTCTTTCCACCGCCCGAGACCCGGGGATGCAATAGGCCCGATTAAAATGGAAAAGGAGACATCCGGAGCCGGGGTAGGTGGAAATGTAAATGTAGTGTGATCTTAGCTTGGATGCAGGGTCGTTGGGATATTTCTTTTTTCTTATTTTTATTCTTTTATACTTGACACTGACACTGACACTGACATTCGAAAAAGAAACCACGGGGAGGCGTATAGTTAGCAGATGCAAGTAACCAGAAAGACACTAGCTCGGACAGAAACGGGAAAATGAAGCACTAGTTGCATGCCATCCGTTGCTGTCAAGCGCGATATACGTGATACTGTACGGCAGACGTTTAGAGAACGTCGCAGAGTAAAGCCAAGCCTGCAAGACATGCGAAGGATCATGACAATACCAGTAACCTCCACTCGCTATCACACCGATTCGCTCGTCTCCTCCGTACGAGTCATGAACGACCACTTCTATCGAGGCATATCCGGTCCAACCAACCAGGCGAGAGAACTGCTCCCCCTCAAAGTTCCCCAGTCAGCCTGCGCGGAGCAAACCATGGATGGCTATGCAGAAAAAGGCAGCAGTCTCGACGGCCGGTGTGTATCATTGGGTCCCGGGGATTCGGGGAGTCGGGGGGCATTTTTCCCTTTTCCCCTTCTGCCGTCTTCATTAATGTAGGTCTGAGCTTCGGGGGGAAACTCTTGTCCCGGTCTATCGCGGCTGTAGTGGAGTGGGCCCGCGCTGATCGACGGTAACCTGCCATCGCGTCCAGGGTTGGAATCGATATCGTGACCGGCAAATCCACCAAGTCCAGACCGCCACATCCACGCTGATTGGCTGGCTTCGACCGGCGTAATAAATCCGGCGAAGGCCCACGCCAGGAATGGCTCGATTGATTGTGGCACGGGGGCCATTTGCTGGGCGTGACCTGCCGTGCCCTCATTTTGACTACTGCTCGGGTTCCCTTCCGTGGATACGTCTCGGATCGTGCCATTTCACTAGATGGTACGGGGTCGATTGAGATTTAACTTGCACGGAAACGCCGATCTATAATTTGTAATCTTCTCATCGGATTTCGGCTTGTCCAGGTCTCCAGATTCATCTGTCAATGTTAAAAATCCAACGCCACGGGAAGTCATGAACTCATTGAACGCATGGAAGATCTCCCCGACCAGTTCTTGTCAGATCTCGCCATTCCATACATGCACGGCGGTTCGCGCTTACTCGGGGACATACTCTGAACTCATGTCCAGATCAAGATTAGCAGATACGAGCAATTGCTTTGACGGTGCCCCAGGCCAGACCGGATAGGCCATGGCATACAAGGATGTTGCCAAAGACTGGATGTGGCTGTTTACAAGTACGACGAGCGCACCAACCAAGCCCTGCAGTTTTTCTAGAAGACTATCATCCCCCGCGGACTGGCTCGTGGGCTACTTGGGACCTTGGACGCAGGAACCAGCCACGTTATTGCATGCCCTCTCGCCGTGTGGCAGTCTTGGCCATGCATGTTTTCTTTGTCTGGCCCTCCCCCCTGTCCTTGTCGGGCACTCGAAAACCGCCTAGAGGGACGCAGCACGTCAATCAATTGCTAGAATAGTGGAGTGCAGATGCCATGTGTGATCTACAACTGTTGAAGGCTGAGACCTGCAGCATGTCCATGTGGGCTTTACCCCTGGCTCAAAGAAGGTGGGGAGTTGATACAAGCCTGCGCATTGAGCTTATCTTTTGACCTTTTTTTAATCCCCAGGTGGCCCTGTAAGCATCTTATTCGTGGTCCATATGCCGGGATGGTATGGGGCTGAGCCAAAACGGATTCCACGTGTTTTTGAATGATCAAAGCGATCAAAGAAATAACATTGAGACCGTAACCAAGCTCTTTCCGCCGACTCGGAGGAAAGCATTTGGACTCACTTTGTAGTGTTTCGTATACCAATCCCATTCGATAGTCGAAACACCTCCAATGCCTTGTCCTTGAAGTCGTACAGCCCTTAGCTTTGATGCAGCATATCCTTAATCCAAATCTCTAGGACTAAAAATGAGGGATCAATAGAGTATTCTCCGCCGTACCGGGGGATCATCGGTGCCAATCACTAAGGCGCTGTCAACCGGAATTTCAAATCCCGTTCCCAACAAGGCTAATCGACGACGAATGAGGTGCTCAAGCGTCCGAGCCATTGCTGCAACTGGCTGCGCACTCACGAACTCTTCTCTATCACGTATGAACCCGATTGACAGCTAGGATCACCCCGCTCAAGTCTCCACTGATTTCCTTCGAAGACCTTCTAGAAGTCCAGTGCCCCGACAGAAGAGGATAAGCCCCAACTCTAACCGTCCGTTGGTCGCAGTTCAGTCTGCTGACTCGACTGCGTTCGGATTGCACAATGTGCACAGACTCAGTCTGACCGGTTAACGGCGTTTCATGTCAGTCCTTCTCTTTCATCCCTGATCGCCTGTCCAAATGTCCAAGTGTTTCGAGTGTTTCTAAAGATATCCTCGTTTCAAGTTATTCTCGCGTTCATTGTTGCTATTTTCATAGCGATAGCAATGATAGCATGGGAGAAAGAGAGAAAGAGAAAGACGCCGGGGATCGATCAGCACGGGGAAAGGAGATCTACATTTGATAATGAAAACCAGCATAAAAGAAGGGTAAAGGGGCGGACTAGCCTCAGCAACTTTGTTACTCACATTCTCATTCGATGCCATCTGGACATGTTCCCCGATACCCCGATGCCCACGTCCGATACCCTGAACCTTGCACCCTAGTCCCCATAGTCCCACGCCTTTAGCAGGGGCCCTGGTCAAAGTGGCCAAATATGGCTGCTGCTCTTGTTATCTTGCGATCTGCCTGTCCTTACCTAACAGATAATCGGCCATGAAAGGGCCTGCGTGGGTTTAACTTCGGGCGTAGCTGCATTCGATCACCACACACGAACGCCATGCCACCTGTTGACCAGGTTCTCGAACTCAATTGCGAGTTGCCTCACCACAAGTCGACCACGGCCCGCGGTCAGGCCGCGATGGATTACGAGAGCCAGGAAGAGCGGGGAGAAGTTGCACACCGGGATTGACGAACTAAAAGGAGACTTGTAGGCCGTAGACCGGAGTTAGCCAGCAACCAACGGTAAATCACGCGCAAACGGCGGATCGTCATTTGACGTTCGCCCGTGGGCCGTGATGGGCCTTAACTCTTCTTCGAGCCCCATACAACCTAACTCTATCCTATCAAACCCTAACCTTTGAGAAAACTATCGTGGAAAAGAAAAAAAAGACTAATAATGTCCCCGACAAGCGACGACCGACATGGGTGGATAAGATGGTGAGATCAGATCTGGGTTCCCCAATTCCCAGACCGCCACGAGGCAATCCTCCTGCGCAACCTTACACAATAGCGGCTAGATTTAATTTGTCATGCTTGTATACCGGGGTCTGATGCGCTTGATACCCAAAGGGGAGAATGAGCTGCGTGCAATAATCTGCAAGCCTCAGCCATATAGCCAAAATATAGTCCTGGCAGCAGCCAACAGTTGGGATTTCCTCACGATTGGTGCAAATTTGGGACCGTTGACGGTTTATCTGCCAGAATACGGGCGACGAACTATGTAGTTTTTGAGGCGTCCTTCGTGCTGCGTACGGAGTACTCCGTAGATGCATCTTTTGTCCTGCGCTATTTTTCCTGCTATCACACCTTGCCTGTTGTGGTTAATGTATAAGTTGTAGAAGTCGTGTTATCCCTGGCCAACATTGACTACACGTCTTCGTTCCTCCCCCTCTTCCCTCGGTTTTCTCTCTTTTAATATTTTATTTTGCCAATTCCCACTAGTTTTACATAGGGGCTGTAACGGACGTCGATCTTCATATCGAGGATTTGGGGGAATAGACTTTGCATCCCCCCTCAGATGTGGAAAGTTGATATGTGTGATTTGGGTGTCACAACTCTAACGCCCGACGACCCGTTCCTCGGAGATCGGACTGCCCGAGACGCTAGGTATGGTTCTTGTTTCTGATTGATTAACTTGTATAGACTGACATTCGCTTGTATTGTCCAAGATCGGTCGAGATGGTACCGTGTTTCCTACGAGCAAAGTCCAGGCTAAGAGAAAGGAGTCAGAGAGAAGCTATTAGGAGAAATTGTCG